CACGACCAACAGCTAACCCCGATCTTATGCCTGATAAGCAGTTTGTTGATATGCACTGCAGTGTACGAGCCATCAAGGGGGGCATCTGACCACAGTAACTACCTGGAGGCCACAACCTGGATTGAAGATATGAAATATCTCTTCACACAGTTTGTCCATTGTTCACTCGTTTGTCCATTGTTCATTCGTTTGTCCATTGTTCACTCGTTTGTCCATTGTCCATTTGTTTGTTTATATAGTTCACTTGTTTGTTTAATGTTCATTCAGTTTGTTTTTTGTTGTTCATTGTTCATTTTTCGCTGTTTAATATGGTTTGTTTGCGTGAATGTTGGGTGAACTTTGTTCATGTTGTTGGTTCATGTGGGTTATATTATTTAATGTTTTTATTGTTGATCATATAATTATCATCGTCAACTTTAATCACCATTATCATATCATTGTTGTTAGCGCCAGCGTCATCATGGACGTCATCATTAACGTTATCATCATCATCAATACCACGACCTTTATCACATCTATAGTCATTATCGTTATAATATAATATAATATAATATACATAATGATTGTGTAATAATTGTAATATTAATAATAATAGTAGTAATAATAATAACGACTACTTCATCATCATCATCATCATCGCCGTCCTCTTCCTCATCATCATCATAATCATCATCGTTCCTACCATCACCACCAGCAAAAGTTTCCTTCTGGTGTCTCTGGGCTTCACGGCGGTGGCTTTCGTAACGGGGTCGCTGGCACTATGGGCCCCCCAGTACGTCTACTACTCCATACTGGTCCAACCCAATCAGGCCGATGACTCGAGGTTGTTGTTGTGAGGGTGGTGGTGGTGATGGTGATGATGATTGTGAAGAAGTTGTTGATGAGGATTATGATGTTGATGATAATTCCAAGTCGTGATCGTTGTTGTGGTGATGATGATGTTAATGATGATTACGATGATGATGATGATGATGATGGTGATGATGATAGCCATGAGGATGATGATGATAGTTTGTTCATAGGGATAATAATGATAATGATGTTTATGATGATGATGATGATGATGATGATGTTTTGTTTGTTTAAATGACGAGGAATCCCAATATAATTATTACCCTAAAGCACACGTTAAACAAACATTCAACTCATCGCCTAAGTGCCAATTTAATTTCTGCAAACTTCGTCATCATCACAATCATCATCATCTTCATCACCATAATCATCCTATACTATCATTGCCACTGTCATCAGCGTATCCATGATCTTTGGAGTGATAACAGTTGTTTCCGGTATTCTCGGGGTGACCTTGGGGTCGGGGGCGGCAGGCCTCTTGCGAAGAAAAACCTCCCTGGCCGATCCTTACGTCTGCGCGTTTGGCATGATCTCATCCGCCCCATTTCTCTTCCTGGCTCTTTACCTCTCCAGATACAATACTGTTGTTACCCTTGTTAGTTGGTCACTATGCTGTTTGTTTGTTTGCTTGTTTGTTGGTTGGTTTGTGTTGTATGTTCGGTGTTTTCATTGTACTGTATTGTATTTTGTTGTATTGTATTGTATTTTATTTTATTGTATTGTGTTGTATTGTATTGTATTGTATTGTGTTGTATTGAATTGAAGATTTGTAAGTGCTTTTATAGATTGTAGAGCTTATCTTGTATAGGGTTGTCTATGTTTGAATGAAATGTTTGTTGCGACGATTTTTATATTCATTTTTAAATGCACACTACATTTACCTACATGCTTCCAACACACACACACACGCCGCACACACACACACACACTTTCTCTCTCTCACACACACACACGTCTATCTATCATTTCATATCATGATTTTTTTTTTATTTCGCCCGCAAACAGTTGTGCATTTTCCTGGGGGAGACCTTGTTGTTTCTGAACTGGGCCCTCGTCTCCGACATGCTTCTGGTAGTTTTCAACCCTCCTTATCATCCTTATCATCGGATTCATCATCGTCATCGTTTTCATCGTCACGCTCGCTGCAGCGTAGTCGTCGTCATCGCCACCACTGCATCTTCTTCATCATCACAGCATCATCATCATCATCATTACGTCGTCTTCTTCTTGATTACAGCATTGTCATCGATCATTACTTCTTTTACATCTCCTTACACCATCATCATCATCATCGTCATCATCTTCATCTTCATGGCCACCCTCACCACCACGACATCATAATCATCACCACCCCCACACGACCACCACCCCTTGCAGTACCTGGTAGTACCCACCAGGAGGTCGACAGCTGCCTCCCTCCAGATCCTCATGTCGCATGCACTTGGAGACGCCGGAAGTCCAACACTTGTCGGCCTGGTTCGTTCATCATGATGATGATGATGGTGGTGATAATGATGGTGGTGATAATGATGGTGGTGATGATGATGGTGGTGATGACGTTGTTGATGATGGTGATGACGTCGAGGGTGAGAAAATTATTTCGCCATGGTGGTTGTGTGTGGAAGGTTGAAATTCACGTTTGTGTCGGTGCTTGTGGCGGCTGTAGTGCTCGTAATGGTTGGTGTTGATGCTTATGGTGGTGTATCTGCTGTATACATACCTGATGTTGGTATCACACACACACACACACTCACACACACACACACACACACACGCTCAGGTATCGGACAGCATAAAGCGCTCCTTCAACTCCACAACTCACGACATAATGATGAACTACCAGAGCCTCCAGTTCGCCCTCTACATGGACTGTTTCATCTGCGTGGTCGGCGGGGGCTTCTTCCTCGCCGCGTCGCTCTTCATCAATCGAGACAGGAGGGAGACGCAGAGAATTATGAAGGGTTGGTCAATTAATGTCTTGACTGATTGATTGAATGGTTGGTTGGTTGGCTAATTGAATGATTAAATTATTGATTGATTTAGGTAATAATTGATCGATCGATCGATCGATCGATCGATTGATTGATCGATTGATTGATCGATTGATTGATTGGTTGGTTGGCTAATTGAATGATTAAATTATTGATTGATTTTGGTTAATGTGATGATTGATTGGTTAATGTGATGATTGGTTGATTGATTGGTTGGTTGGTTGATTAATTGGTTGACTTCTCCAACTTCCTCTCTTCCCCTCCAAACAACCAGGCTACGACGAGATCAATCAGGAGGGGGACCAGCAGGACGACGACGACCAGCCCCTGATCACGTGATGCGTGACGTCACGAAAGAAGAAACGTGGCGTCCGCGATTGGGGGGTGCGTGCATTCGAACATGCATGCGCAGTGCATACTTCATTCTGAAACTTTCCTCACGCTAACATCTCTTGAGCAATTTTTTTTACAGCATTTAAATGGAAATGTATAGCAAAACATAATAATAATAATATCAATAATAATAATAATAATAATAATAATAATAATAATAATAATAATAATAATAATGATGATGATAAAAATAATAATAATAATTTTTACACTTGCGATTACGATTATGTTTCATATCTTTTGACAATTGTTTAAACTGCCATCTAATGTCTTTATGCCTATATGTGTATGTGTGTGTGCGCGTGTGTGAGTGTGTGTCTGCTGATTTATTATTTGAATTTGTAGTTTTGTTTTTCATTTTAATTGATTATTTTGCTATTTATTGATTATTGAACATTTCAACAAGTTGGCAATAAATAATTATCCAAAAGACTTTACCATCGTAATCCATAACTGTGTGTGCGTATTGGTGAGTATTTGTGTGTGTATGTGTTCGTATGTGTTTGTGTGTGTGTGTGGTGTGTGCGTGTGCGTTCTACATCATCATGACGATGACGACGATATATAATTGTGATCTGAATTTTACCCTCTCCATCATTTTCATCATCCTCTGTATTATTGTTCGTATTAAATACCATCATCATTATTGTTATTCTTATTATTATTAGTAATTTAATTGTTACACTTGTTATTCTGTTGATTATTTTTATTAACTGTATGTATGTATGTACTGTGTTACATTGTGTCTCGCTTGATTAACTCTCCAATTATATTAATAATTATCATAATTTATGATAATTATAAGGCGGGAATGATCGTTGTGATATATGCGTATATATATATATATATATACATATATGTGCGTGTGTGTGTGTGTCTCTGTCTGTGTGCGTGCGTGTGTGTAATAGTACTATCTACTTCTCACTATTCAATTCACATTTAATTTCGATTTTTAACAAGCATTAAATGCAATTAATCAGAGATTTTTTCATTATTGATAATAATAATATTAATAATAATAATACAATTATTAAATTAGTATTTTTTTATTTTTTCTATGTACAATTCATTTATTTTAATAATCTGTAAATATTTAGTAAATAATAGCTGAATAATTTGGGAAAATGTTAATAAAGTTTATAAAAAAATATTTGAGTCTGTTTCAATCAATCAAGCAATCCTTCAACTAATTAATCGATCAAATTATCAATCAAACAAACAATCAATTAATTCTTCAAACAAACAATCAAACAAACAATCAATCAATCCTTCAATCAATCAAACAAACAATACATTCATCAGTCAGTCAGTCGAGTCATTCGTCCATCTCAACCCATTAATTTATTCATTCGCTTCACTCATCTACCAATCAATCCATCGGTAAATGAGTGGATTCATTCATCTATCAAGCCCTCGATCACTTGACGACCCCAATAAGGTGAACCTTGACCCTTCCCACGACATCACCCTTCATTATCATCATCATCTCGCTTGAGCACGGTTTGTTCACCTGTAGTAGATGAATTGATTTCTTGGGATAAGTCAATCAATCAATCAATGCTGAATCAATTCAAATCATTCATTTTATTTTTCAATCAAATAATCAACAATCAATCTTCTTCACTAATTTATTTAGTTTAAATTTTTAGTAATTTTGGTTATCGTTCAATCAATCAATCATTAATTCGTTTAAATGATTCATTTATTCATTCATCAGATCATTTGAATTCATTCTTTTATTCTTTCATACACTCAATCATTCATCTACTGCATTCATTCAACCTGGCACGTGCTAGCGTTGGGTTTCCAGCTGATGGTTATTTGTTGTTCGTGCCCGCTTTCAATTATACCCTGATTGCATTATATCGAAGGAATGAATGAATGAATTAGCAATTGAAATAATAAACGAATGAATAAATTGATGAATGAATGAATGTACGAACGAATGAAGAAATGAATGAATGAAAGAACGAACGAACGAATAAATGAATGACCTTAGTGGGACTGATTGAGAATCCACTGAACAGCGCAGACTGCATATCTTCAAAATACCATTCAACATTCTAAAGAGACGATAATGATGATTGATGATGACGACGACGATGATAAAGTTTTGATTGTGATGATGAAGCTGCTGAAATGTTAATGATGAAATTTTAAGAGTTATGAAGATAGAGACAGCGTGGGGACGATGAAGTGTTGATTTGACCTTTTCGGTCCTACTATGACCCTACTCGGCCGGAGCAGAATACTCACCAAATATCCGGCAGTTTTGAAAAAAAAAATTTTAGAATGAAAAACAAGTTATTTTAAAAACAGTAAGAGAATCTTGTTCTCTCAACAACCCTCCATAGAGATTAGGTTCAATTCTACTGTTCTCCATCGAGAGTTCTCCCAACAACTCTCAATTTCTCTGTTCAAATTCAGATATTTTAACCGCTATGATGGCCAAAATAAATTTTCCTCTGTTTATAATCAACAGTTGTTATTGTCCTTGAATAAAAAAAGATGATGGTTTAAACCAGGGGTGGGTTTGCTGTAAGGGCCGCATTAAGAATTATTTTACCTTTGAAGGGCCGCACATGTACTTAAATAGCAAATTATTTTGACCCGGGGGAAAAATATTTTTTTGAAGATTTCATAATGACTGATGACGACCTTTTTTTGGCAAACAAGGCCTCGCGCCTACGAGCGGCGTAATAATAGCGTCGCAGGTCCAAAAATACTTAATGACAGCATAATAATAAAAGCAACAACAGTAACAATAATAATAATAGAACAGCAATAAAGATGAAGGAAGCCGAAGCTGAAGGTCAAATTCAGACCGAATGTTCGGTGCGTCTTTAGTAATAATTTTAGTAATAATGATAATGATAATTATAATGTTATTAATAATTATTTTGATAATAAAATAAATGATGATGATGATGACGATGAGGTGGGACTGATGATGATGATGATGACGATGATGATTGGGTGGGAATGATGACAACCTTTTTAAATTTTGTACTCTTCGATAGCTTCACGCAGCCAACCGTTAACACTTTCACCTTTGACCCTAGGTCGTTATCATAACCACTGTTATTATTACGTTTATTGTTATTATTATTATTGTGGTTGTTGTTATTGTTGTTGCAACCATCGTTGTTGTCGTCACCTTCATCGTCATCATCAAATGAACCGGTGACTTTAATGATGATCGGTTGGAGGTAGTCTGTGATGATAATTTATTACTTTAATTACTACTACTACTACTACTACTACTTCTACTACTACTACTACTACTACCACTACTATTACTATATCAAATACCAATATCGTTGGCGGTAGTAGCAGTAGCCTCTTTAGCGTCGCCATCCTCATTCTCGGCCGGAAGTGGAGGATCAAGAGAGAATGAATGAACGAGCGATGGATGAATAAAGTCGCCGCCCTCGAGATAAAATGTATGACCTTTGACCTGACACCTCATTCTGAATGTGTACATCTCCTCCTGTTTGCGCCATTATTGAGTTATTATTGTTAATTTTATTAAAAATTGTAATTCGCCCTATTTTTAAAAAATGAATGAATGAATGAATGCATGAATGAATGAATGAAAAAATGAATGGATGGATGGATAAACGAATGAATGAATGTATGTGTGAATGAATGAATGAATAAATGGATGGATGAATGAATGAATACTTACTTGACCGGAAGTGACGATATGACCAACATCACATACGTCACAAACGAGTACATCCGCTTGACAGGATACCAAGATATCTTGAAAAGCTTCTGAGTGTTTGATGATGATGAAAAAGATGATAATGAACAAGATGATGATGATGACGATGATGATAAAAATGATAGTGAACAGGTTTGAAAGACAACAATCACCCATTGACGTGAATCCACTAAGATACAATAAACTTGCAACTACCTAACAAACTACATCTACACCTACAATTTCAAAAACCAACCAAACAACATCAACACCAATTTTTAAAACAATCAATCAATGAACAAATTACATTTTATAGCGCTATATTTTTGTAATCAATTCGATTAATAACGATATTATCCCCAGCAAAAATAAAACGCTAGAAAATTTTAAAATGGCGATCTGGATGTTATTTACATTTTATTTTGTTTCTTTTGAGTCCATATACTCGCTCATTCAAACAAACAGCTGATCGAAAGATGCAAAATAAGACAAGATAATTTTACGATAACGACACCACAGCATATCATGAGAAACATCAAGAAACATACTACCGGCTGCAAGCACTCCGTGGCATGGTGTGCAATCAAAAACTCCGTACACTGACGTCATGTTGACGACTGTAGGTTGGATGTTATGATGAGAGTTTCAATTTTGAAAATGTTCATTTGTTAAAGTTTATACTAATATATGAATCTGTCCGTCCATTCATTTGACAATTCAACAATTCAGCTACCTTTTTGCTATTCAATTCATTCATTTATAAATCTATGAATTTTTTCATCCAGTCATGTATTTACCTGATCATCCATCCATCTATCCATCCTTCCATCAATCCATACACCCATTCATCCATACGTCCATCTATCCATCCATCCATTCATCCACCTATCAATCCATCCATCTATCAAAAAATTTATCCATCCATCCATCCATCCATCCATCCATCCCTCCATCCATCCCTCTGTTCATCCATCCATCCCTCTATTCATCCATCCATCCGTCGAACCATGGTGATCCTTATATTTGGACTGTCCATCAATGGAGATGGCATACTTCAATGGCAGATCTGTCCTGTTTGTTATCTGGAGTTGGTCAGTTCAGGAAAATTAATACAATAATAATTAGAATATCTTTAGTACTATTACTACTACTACTACTACTACTACAGCTACTACTACTACTGCTGCTGCTAGCAAATACTATTACAACTACTACTACTACTACTAATAATAATAATAATAAAAATAATATTATTATTATTAATTATTATTATTATAACAACAATAATAATAACAACAATAAAAAAAATACAGATGTAATAAAAAAAATGATGTATGACCGACCTTGAACAACTCCTCAACTCTCTCACCCACCATGACCTTTCCAAAGTCCACCATCCTATCAACCAATGGCACTTCGAGTTTCATACAGCGACCTTCACCTTTCAAGGTCACGTGCAGTGAGGTCATGTGGCCTTTAATGGTCAAGCTTTCGTAGAACTGTTCGTTGGGCGATTAGTCGCAACTTCGTTAATAATGTTTGTCTATATAAATTTTACTTTACCTTATGAATGAATGAACGAATGAATGAATGATCGAACGAACGAACGGACGAACGAATGAACGAATGAATGAATGAATAGTTGATCCACTACCGAATACCAAAGAATCCAAAATTTAGGGAAAAAAACAGGAGTCGAATCGTGTTTATCGAAAAATTCTTTATCGAGATTGTATACAATCTCTAGTTCAAATTCATCTGGTTTAACGGCTATGATGGCCAAAATACATTTTTTGCTGAAATGTAATGTTTTAAACGAAAATTGCAATAATCAGCTACTCGGCCTAAAAATGGACGAATGTCGAAATTTGGTCGAATGATCGACAGGGCCGAACATTCGGTGCATCTCCGGCCGTGACGCTCTTTGAAAAATATTTAAACGTTGATTTATTCAAATTAATCACTGTCAACGTCAACCTATTCATTTCCATTACTTACCAGCGTCCTCATCTATCTCATCACCGACTTCATACAAATTACAATAATGATCAGAGCCATTATAACGATGACCATGACCTTGACCTTATTATTGAACTTTGGCTCAAACTTGACCCTGCAGTTGTGCGTCTCGTCCGGTTTGATGCACCTCCACGAGTTCAACACGCTGAAGTTTGAATGCGTGTCCAACAAGGAACCGCCCAGCTGCTCGGTGTCGGTTGATGAAATTCAATTAGGTAATTAATTAATTGACTGATTATAATAAATAGCATAAGCAAATAAATAAATGTACATATTACTAATTAATGAATTCAATTCACACTCGATTCGGTGACGTCATGATTGTCGTAATTCCCACCTTCACCATCTTACTTACCTCATCATCGTAGCCGTCGTCACCATCATCAAAACCATAATTATCATCACCATTATCATCATAGTCATCATTATCAACATAATTATCATCTTTATCATGATAATCAGCTACCATCGTCGTCATCACCGAATGCAACCTGCACATCAAATCCGGAGACGTTCCTAACGACAAGAGTCCTGATGACGTAATGACCTACAAACACGTGACCGAACTCGACGACGTCACTGGCAAGGTCATTGACCAGCTGAAGTTCGGGCGGCATCATTGAGCAGTGGACTTCAAGGTAGATCGTGCTGTTGGGACTGGTCATCATCATCATGATAAATTGATAATGATGTTTCCTGACTTTTACTAAGTAGCTCTGACAAACACGCAGAGGTAATTATGTATAGTTACGGATCACTTAGTACAAAGTTTGTACATTTTTTAAACAAAACGAAGTACATGTTGCTACACGTTCATACGAATGCGCGGGCACTCCATCATACGCAACACGTGGTGCTTTTGAAATTCAAACAGACAGTTCCTTTAGTTTTGGCGCGGTATAATTGCCGCGAGAAATATGACACTCAGACAGACAGGTGAGCAAACAGACTGGCACATCCTAGCTAGCTAGCTCAGCCACACAACGAATATAACTCACATCTAAGCATCAACAAGACCATCGGCAAAAGGAATTTTCAGTGGCAGCTAGATAATCACCAAGCTATCAATTTCATTTCATCATCGTCATCATCACCATGATCATCATCATCACCACCACCACCCGAATCATAATCATGACTAACTCAAGGACTGGCGTGCAGACGTCTTCCCGTTTGGACCTGCAGCCGATGTAACATGGGAACTTGTGTCGCAAACTGCTGGCACTCATCCTCTTCATCAGGGAAATGCGTGCCAACATGTACTCACTGTTCCTGGTCAATGATGGTGGTGGTAACGTTAAAGAAGATGAAGATGAAGATGGAACTTAATGGTCCGAGGGTATGGGATACTGTATTGCCACATGAAATTAAAACAATCAACTCATTACACTTATTTAAAAACAAGCTAAAAACTTTTTTAGTTAAAAAAAACACTTATTTTAAATAGCTTTACACTATTTTACAATTTATTTAATTTTGATGTTCTTAGTAAGCGAATTTTTCAGTCTCAGTTGTGACTATACTGTCACTTTTAGGTACTATATGAAACATGACAGTATTCATGGAATGATGTACGTGTGAGCATGTGTTTTTGTATATGTATTTATTTGACATTTCTGTTACATTTTAACTAAGAATTTGTGTGTATGTATTTATTTGAAATTTCTGTTACATTTACAGTTGGAATTCTTAGTTAAGGGTGGCCTATCCACAAGTTTATCTTTTTGGTTATCCTTTAAATAAATAAATAAATAATAAATATATAAATAAATGATGAAGGTGAAGATGATAAAGATGAGGATGAGGATGATGAAGATGATGATAATGGTAAAGATGATGATGAAAAAGATGGCAATGGTATGAATAATAATGGGATGAAGATGAGGAACCAGGGTCTGACAACTCACCCAACAACTACATCGGAGTACGTGGGAGCAGCATCACTATCGCCACCACCACCACCACCGATCTTCTCACCACCGCCAGCTTTCATGACATCACCGCCACTGCCGCCAATGCGTTTGTCGTCGTTGTGGTTAGCAGCAGTAGCAGCAGCAGCTTCACCAGCAGCAGCCCTGGTTGCTGATTTTTTGTTCTTCGTGTCACCTGTGATCTACATTCGAATGAAAATATTTTATTAGTAATTAAGAATAAAAAAATGATTGATTAAATTATTTAAAATGTTTAAGTTGTAATTAGCCCGGTGAGTGAACGACTAAAATGATAATGAAGACGACTGTTATATTCATCGTAAAGTTGGTAGTGTTGAAACAAACTCATTGTCATCATCACAAAACAACAACAACAACCCAAATAAAAACAAAATGACCAATAACAAAACATCATCAACAACGACAACAACAACAGCAAGTCTTAATCACACAAAAACATCAGCAAAAAGTTGGCAACTGAATTTTTTTGTTTATGTAGTTGATCGAGTTGAATGACATTCTCAGCCGTCAGACTCCTCCTCTTCGTCATCTGCTGCTGCTTCGTACGCTCCATCTCAACCTGCATCAACCTGGCAGCTTCCTGCTTGATTGACAGCTCGTGTAGGCGGGGCTTGTAACTTACACGGAGCAGTTCTCTCTGGGGTTGATGATGACAAAAATTGAGAATTTATGACGATTAAAATTTGTCAATCAGACAAAATGGAATATGACCCAATTATTTAATTAACAAGTCAATTGTAAATAAAATAATTACACAACAAATTATCAAATCAAGTAGAGCATTCAATCAAAAATTCAACCAATCAACCAACCAACTCAAAGACCCAACCAACCAATCAACTCAAAGAGCCAACCAACCCCTTTTGGTTTGAGGCATCCAACGTGGGGTGAAATGCTGATGAATGAGGTGCATTCCTCTGTGAAGAACTCAAAAAATTTTTCCTCATCTGTTGGTGGTCGAGTGGAAGTTCAATCAATTAATCAATCAAATAATCAATCAATTAATCAATCAATTAATCAATCAATTAATCAATCAATTAATCAATCAATCAAACGATCAATCAGCCAGTCAGTCAGTCAGTCAATCAATCAATCAACAATCAATCAACTAACTAATTAAATAATCAATCAATCATGTTAACAGACAACAGATTCAATTAATACATCTAACCAATCAACTAACCAAACAAGCCGCCTATCAATTTATCCAATCAACAAATTATTCAATCGGCTATTCAGCTAGCCATGTAATTTATGAACCATTCACATTCAACCAACAAACAAATGAACATTTTATATAAGCATTCAACCATTCACCAAATTTAACAACCCAATTAAAAATTTAACCAAATATACAAACAATCAAATCAGCCAATCATTAATTCAACAATCAGTCAATCAAACGATCAATCGACCAACCAATCAGCAGTAGGACTAGTGAATCAACTCAACAATCAGATCAATAAATAAAATCAACAAACCGCAGTTGGATCAACAATTCAACCAATCAGCCAATTAGTAAACCAGCCAGCCAATCAACCTGAGTGATTGATGATAGTAATAGTTTGATGGACGTGGTCATCCACGGCCACCAATTGGAGGAGGATCAGCTGATGCGAAAGTTGGACAGGGGGTACCACGCCCCAACCCTCGCACGTCAACTTGAAATCTCTTTGGTAGTCGTGATGATGATGGTGAGGATGACGATGATGACGATGATGATGATAATGATGATGACGATGGTAAAGATGATGATGATGACGATGATGATGACGATGACGACGATGATGATGATGACGATGGTGATGATGATGATACGATAATAATGTGATATGATAATGCGATGATGTGATTTGATGATGATGATGACTGTTGTAAGTACATGATGACGTTAACGATGATGTCTACCGCCAATCATTGCTACAACAACATAATCACTTTCAATTAATCAATCAATCAAGTTTATATAGACCAACTTCAACAAATTCAACTGGACTCAACTTAAATGTCGGACTGCAAACAATCGCGAAGAAGTAAAAAATTAGGTAAATAAAATAAAACCAAATAAAATAAGAATAAAATAAAGAGAAAAAATGTCATCACCAAATTGTCATCATCATCTTCGTCATCATCCATCTGTCATCAGCACTACCATTGCCACCTACTTGTTCTTGAAGTTTTTGCAGACGAGTGAGAACTTGTAATGTTTTTGTTGGGCGGGTGCGAACGTGAGGCAGACCTCCATCTTCTCCATGGGAAGCATCGTCATGAATCCGTCGTTCGGCTGGACCGATATCTCCTGAGTTCGATCGCAAATGACTCCGTGTCATTTCAAACGTTTCGTTCATTGGTTTTTGCTTATGATCTACTTATTTTTAAGTGCGAGTGAGGCGTTAAGAAGAAGAAAAATTTTAAAGTTACGGTTGTTGTCATTATCAGTTAACAATCTTAACAACAATCTTTACAAAAATTATCCGTGTGGTGACTCAGCAAAACAAACAAACAAACACACAAACAAACAGACAGACAAACAAGCTAGCGAACAAACAAATAAATAAACAAACAAACAAATGAAGAAACGAACGAACGAACGAACGAACGAACAAAAACCTAACAGGTGGGAGATCAACGAAGCCGATATTTTGTGGTAGCAGTGACGAATTTTGCGCGGTGACGTTTGCCGACACACGTTCGTATGTTGTGCAGTAGTTGAAGTTGATGTGGCGTGGCTCTATGATGACGTCACTTGTGGTCACCACTGCGTGCATCTCAAGTTCGTGTGGCTGTGTCTGCGGTAGTGGTGTAAGTGGCTGATGACGACGATGGAGATGAGAATAATTTAAAAAAAAAATTATTTTTGCGATCCTTTCCATTATTTGAAGGAAGAGTTGTTAGCAGGAATCGCAAACTGCAGAGTAACAAAGTAAGTCCGTAAGTAACAACGTCAGTCAATAAAGAACTACAAACAAGCATGGAGCAAACCAATATTATCAAATCAAAATTCTTATCATATAAACGTTGCTATTTATTTCAGGACAAATTTTATCTCGATGAAAAATGGCAATTTTATTCAATCTTCAAAAGTGTCGCCTCCACCAATGCCACCACTTGCGTCAGAAGTAGTGGTGCTGTCGCAACTGATACTACTGAAAAAGTAGTGGAACCACAGAAAAAAAAACCACGCTACTACTATCACTACTTTTACAGTGACAACTCTACAGCTTCCTTGTTAAACAGATCAATCCCCACAAACTTAGCACAGTGCGAACTAAATAATGATTCTTATCTGTAGCATCGTAATGAATATGAAACTTTGTAGTTATTTCCACAGAATTCTGAAATTGATTTTCTGTTTTTCACGGCGGCCATTGCTAAACTGTATCAGTTCTTATCATATTCAATCTTATTTCTGTCTCATTTGCTCTCTGTAAGTCTACATTAACTTCTTCCGTTATTCGCGGTTGTAGATTTTGAATGAATAAAATTAATCAAAATCATCATCATCATTTGCGTCATGGTCATCGTCATCAATGTCATCATCATCTTCATTAATGTCGCAAAAAACGAAATCATCGTCAAATGTTTCCACCCCCACCACCACCATCATCATCATCATCATCAAATGCTTCCACCATCATCATCATCATCATCATCATCATCATCATCATCATCAAATGCTTCCACCATCATCATCATCATCATCATCATCATCAAATGCTTCCACCACCATCATCATCGTCGTCGTCGTCGTCACCATCATCACCAGGTTGACAACCTGATCGGAGACATGTACTGAAATGGGTACTCGGAGTACAGATGTACTGGCATCAAAGTACGATGGCGCATCGCTTGCTAACATCTTCCTGGTTGTGTGGTGGCGGTCATTTCGTTGTGTGGTCACTTTGTTGTGTGGTCACTTTGTTGTGTGGTCACTTTGTTGTGTGTTCACTTTGTTGTGTGGTCACTTTGTTGTGTGGTCACTTTGTTGTGTGGTCACTTTGTTGTGTGGTCACTTTGTTGTGTGGTCACTTTGTTGTGTAGTCACTTTGTTGTGTGGTCACTTTGTTGTTATGTCGTAACGTTGCTGTTGCTGTATCGATACGCCGTTCTTATGTAACATTGCAGTTGTAATTTCAAAACAAAATAAACGTTATAAACTCGTCAAAATTCATGAGGAAAACCACATACACACGCACGAACGCACGCCAACACATACCAGGGGTGGGCAAACGTTTTTGCTGTGAGGGCCGTATTGAGAAATATTTTACATATGTACTTGAATAGCAAATTTTTTTCGACCCGGGGAAAAATTTTTTTTAGAATTCGTGGCTTACAACACAGCCATGCCAAGCATAGCAATTTACAATAAATACAATATTCAAATGGTACACAGGACATTTCACACACCACGTCACTCCACACTTACACACGCTTACATAAAGACGGCGGCACACCACACACAGACACGCACACACACAACACGCACACACGTTCACACACACACGCGCTCACACACATACACACATACACACACGATGGCACACCACCAAACAGACCTCGGTAGAAATTTGATAAAAAACTTGAAAGAGGAAGATGACTGGACGATGGCAGTACTGGGCAGTACCTCCATGTGATTGGCCAGTTCAGTTGGAAAGGTGAAGGTCACTCGTTTGTACTTGTTGTATCTTTGTCATGATGATGATGGTGATGATGATGTAAATGATGATGATGTAAATGATGATGATGATAATGATGATGTAAATGATGATGAAGACCAGAGGAACCGACTTGAGGAGTGCAGGATGATATGATGACGGCGATGACAAAAATGATGATGATGGCGATGATGATGATGATGACGATGATGATAATGATAAATAGCAGTAGCAACACAACCTGTTATGTGCAACCACGAAATCTTGATACAGCGAGTCGTAAGTGCATATTTTCATGTCGACATCCGATGTGTTCAATGTTAAAGTGCTCTCTATCGCTCGGCCGTGACAACATATGTCAACCTTTCTTGGGGTAAAATGTGATGGTGTGCCGATTGATTGAGTAACTGAATGATTGTTTAAATGAATGAATGAATGATTGAGTGAGTGAATAAATGGTTGAATGATTGTTTAATTGATTGATCGATGATTGAACGACTAACTGATAAGTGAATAATTAAATGATTGAATGATCAATCAATTGATTGATCACTTGATTGATAAGCAGCTTAGTTACCAGCCAACCAACCAGCCATCCAACAAACCATCCAGCCAGCCAACCAACCGACCAATCAACGAACCAACGAACCAGCCAACCAGTCAACCAACCATTTAGCCAGCCAACCAACCAGCCAACCAGCCAGCCAACCAATCAACCAACCAGCCAACCAATCAACCAACCAGCAAATCAATCAATCAACCAGCCAGCCAACCAACCAACCATCTAGCTAGCCAACCAACCAATCAGCCAACCAATCAGCCAACCAACCAACCAATCAATCAATCAACCAGCCAGCCAACCAGCCAACCTTCTGACAGGAGGTAGCAGTAACAACAAACGACGTGGCCACACACCCAACCACTTTAGGCCTCCAGATGACGGCAAACGTGCAGCTACAACCCGGTAGCAACCTCTCTACCACTGTGGGCTATCATCGTCATCACTGTCGTCATCGTCATCATCATCGTCTCATCGTCCTCATCATCATCATCGTCTCATCGTCCTCATCATCATCATCGTCTCATCGTCATCATCATCGTCTCCTCAAAAATTTCATTCATCATTATCATCATCATCCCGGTCTTTATAGCTATAATTATGAATTAATTTTTTGGCATGCAAACATTTTCCAGGATAAAATCCTCTACATATTCTTCCCTCTCATCATCTGAATATAAATTAATTAATAAACAAATTAATAAATTAATTAATAAACAAATTAATTAATCAATCTATCAATCAATCTTTTAGCCAATTTTTTGTTTCCCAAATAGTCAACCAATCCTCAATCGATTTAGTGGCTGATTAATTAATCAATTATTTAATTATTTCAATCATTTGAAAAATTATTCATCATCAGAGTTTGTTACATTAATTCAGTAAGAAAAACTTCCCCCTAACTTATCTCCGACGCTCCGGGGTTGCTTGTGACACCTGCGAAAAATTTTCTTTCATTTATCCGCATCAATCAACATCATTTTATAGAGTTTAATATATTAGTTTAAATATTTATAAAAAAAATGATTGTTGTATTTTCGTTTGTTTGGCTGTCTATGCACATGTTTGTCTGTCTGTTTTTATGTGTGTGCGTGCGTGCGAGTGTGCGTATGTGCATAAAATGTTCGCGCGCGCGCGCGTGTGTGTGTGCATGTTTGTGTGTATGTTCGTTGGTATAGTTGTTTGTATTTTTGTACGTTTATGAGTTTGTTTGTATGTCTGTTTGAATTCTAGTTTCTGTATGTATTTATTGTGCTTGTATGCTTTTTATTCATGCACTATTGTGCTTGTATGCTTTTTATTCATGTTTGTAAGGCAAACTGTGAATTAATGTATTGTGTGTGTGTGTGTGTGTGTCAGTGTATGTGTGAGCTTGCTTGTATGGGAGAACATGCAAATATGTCCTTGTTTGCCTTCTTCTATTTGACTCCATGCATGCGTGGTAGTTCGAGGGTTAATGGACACATGCAAGTGTGCGTGTGAATATTCGTATGTGAATTGATGCATGTAAGTGTGTGTGTTAATGTTTATATGTGAATGCGAGTCTCAGTTGTCCCCCTACTTTGCAAGACGTATCTTTCGATCGCCACGTCCACTTCATAATCGCCATCGTTGCATACGCTCACTTCTTTCTTCACTATCTCACCTGCTATCTCCTCTCCAAAGTCAACATCAGTATCACTGACTGAGATCTGCGCAGATTGTAAGGTGACGTCAGTTTTTTTCATGGAAAAACAACAACACTCACAACAATATAAAAAGAAATATGCGTACTTATGTGACAACACACGCGCGCGCACATACACACACACACACATACACACACAATATACAAACAACATACACACAATATACACACAACATAATAAACAAGCACAAACACACAAACACAAACATACACACACACACAATATACACACAACATAATAAACTCTCAGCCCAACATAAACAAACACACACACACAAACACACACATACACATAACATAAACACTCAATACAACGTAACCCCAAACACACACAACACACACACATACATAGATACACATACACACACAGATAAAAAATATACACACGGAATATTTTTTGGCGAGGCAGTGCACTGGTATGGAGAACAATCCTGTCATACTGAGTAGGCTTATATCTCCGTATACATCTGTGTTTGTCTGTGTGTATGTATGTGTGTACGTGTGTATGTGTGTGTGCGTGTTTGTAAGTGTTTTGCACACTTTTGCGTGTTGGATAATAACATGTGTGTACACTTTTGTGAGTTAGATAATTTCATGTGTCAGTATGAAAATATGTGTGTGCTGATTTGGATTTCTTGTAGTTATTATCCTTTTAACGATCCTCCTCATCATCAACATCACTATCATCATCATCACCATCACTATCATCATCATCACCATCACTACCATCATCAGCATCATCATCATCAACATCATCATCAGCATCATCATCATCCCTATCATCATCACCACGACACACAAACTCACATTGGGGGTGAAGTAGACGGTGAGGTAGCAGGAGATGCCGGGGGGTAGTTGCTTCGGTGGGGGGAACCTCGGGGTGGATTTTATTGGCAACTATTTAAGAAATTAAACCAATGAAATCATCATTTTTATTATCATCATCGTCGTCGTCATTGTCATCATCACCATTATCATCATCATGATAATGGTGATGATGTTCCTTATCATCTTTTTTATCATCGTCGTCATCGTCAAAGTTATCACAGAGTTCTTGTCAAAATCACTAGCTTTTAGTTTTAATCTTCAACCATTCACTCTTTCTTTAACATCAATAAATCTTTTTTGAATCCACCTCATAACCAACATCATCGTCGTCATCACCGTCATCATCACCGTCATCATCATCATCATCACCATCATCATATCATCATCATCATCATCATTATCGTCATCACCATATCGTCATCACCACCATTATCATCATTATCGTCAGCATCATCATCATCATAGCCACAAACATCACCATCATCTTAAAAATCTTCCATATCTCTTCATCATCATCATAATCATAACTAATAATATATATATATATATACATATATTATATTTATATATATATAAATATATATACACATATATATATAACCCTCACTCAATCTTCACTATCTCCTGGAGATTTTGACTGACAGTCTTGAAGTGGCAGGAGTTAGGAGCCGATGTGACGTTCGTTAGCCGCACTCGCTTTACGTAAGATAGACCCACGTTGAAACTCTGGCCACGGTGTTGGGAATTATAATTTTGATAATAATAATAATAATAATTATTTATTTATTATTATCGTTTAAATTTAAATAACGTTATTATTATTATTGATATTATTATGATAATGAGGAAGATTATTGTTGTTATTATTGTTGTTGTTTTTTTTTGTTACCGTTATCATCATCATCATCATCTCATTATTATTATTATTATTATTATTATTATTATCACCATTCAGCAAACCTTAAAGATGACCGTTGCAGGCTTGCATAGAAATGGAACTCCGCTGTTTATCTTCATATCCGTTTTTAGCCGCCGTTGTAAGGAAATGTTATTTGTAGCTGTTGCAGTTGCTGCTGTGGCTGACGTCGTTGAGATGTTTCGTTTCATGTTTTCCAGAGTTTTCAACAATTGTTGCTGAAAAAATGTAATTCAAGTTAATATTTTAACAACTCCATCATTAGACCTCTGTAAATAACAAACAGAGTGCATGCATGCATATATATATATATATATATATATATATATATATATATATAGAGAGAGAGAGAGAGAGAGAGAGAGAGAGAGAGAGAGAGGCGTGGAGTCGATGATTGGTCCAATAATGTTAAACCCTTTTTCACTGATATAAAGATAGAATACGTGGTTGATCATTTGATACTCCGCTCTCCCCTCCCCGTAATGGGTCCTGCAGTCTGGAATGGTTTGCCTAACCAGGGACCTTCGTGATCCTGCGTTGTCTGTTATTCGATTTTGTAAAAGGCTGAAACACCATCTTTTTGTCCTAGCTTACCCGTGCTAAATATCTTTTTCTCTCCACTCATTGCATGGCTTCAATAAAGTGCTATGCGATGTACTGCAGTAATCGTCAGCGACTCTGAGATCTTTTCAAAAGGCGCTTACAAACACACCAATAATAATAATAATAATAATAATAATTTATCATCATCATCACCTTCTCGGCATACGTCACATCCTGCCGTAGGTTGCTGACAGTTCCCAGAAATGTTGATTGCCTGGTGACGTCACGTAGCCACAACTTGCTACTGCTATCATAATCATGGCCACCACCGATGTCATCATCATCGTCATCATCCTGACAATCTTCGTTGTCATCGTCGTCATCACTAGCTGCATAATTTGGTCAATTAAAAAAGAGTAATCAGACGGTAGAAGTGTCGTGCCTCGCGTCGTAGTTGTTACTGCGCGGTCACCTGGTTAGATTACTACCACGAGTACACTCAGACACAACATGTACAGTACACGTACAACAAAATAAATAATAACTACATAATGCAGCAGAGTCCAAAATAGGGATGATAATTAGCAATATAAAATAACAACATCAATAACGATGATGGACTAACAAGACAATTATAATAATAATTATTATCAGAATTATCAAATATAATAAAATAACCACAGTCGCAAATATTTTTGAATCGTGTTAATCCGAGGTGGTGGGCAAACAGTGGCCCGCGGACACCATGCGACTCGCGGTGGCTGGTTTTTGTGGTTCGCAGAAGTTTTAAATAATTCATTTTTACGTACGAGAAAGTTTTTTGCGTTCTTTTTACATTTAAATTTAGATAATTGGAAACTAGAATTTGAGAAAATTTTGACAAAAGCTCATTTAAAAACTTTGCCGTCAAACTTTTTCCAATATTTGAGACTACACCGGACACGCTCTTATGGATAAAAAAAATAATGTATGCATGCGGCTACTGTTTGCCCGCCGCCCACTCCTATGTTACGTAACAACCTCTGTTGATGACGTCATAGTTATTTAAATCTCTCACGGCATGTCTGTCGTCATCATAGCCATAATTAGTGTCATCATCATATTTGAAGTCTTCATCGTTCGAGCCTTTCGGCGAGTGATTGAATTTGTAATTACTATTTTTTAAGTACAAGTTATTATTATTAAATAAATTATTATTATTATTATTATCATTATTGTTGTTGTTGTTGCTGCTGTTGCTGTTGTTGCTGCTGTTGTTGTAGTTGAGAGTAGTTGAACTGTATAGTTTGTTTACCGATGATCTGACGTGACCACCGCTGCTTAAGTTCGTCTTGCTTTTTAATAAGTTTCCGCTAAGTTTATAATTATTATCATTATTAAGATTATTATAATTGTTGCTTTTATTACTATGATAATTATTATCTAATATATCTGCACAGATTTTTTTCTTATGATAAAAGTCATCTTGATTGTCGATAATACTGTTGTCTATGTTTCTTGTATAGGCTTGATGCAGTGAATGTTTTTTTGATGAATAACAATTATTACTTTTGTTGTTGTGAAGATAAGCTTTAATAATATTATTATTGTTGTTGCTAATATTATTGTTGTTGTTTATGTTGTTATAATAATGGTTATTGTTGTTGACGTGACCCTCATTCTGGCTGATGATCCTCAGCGACTGTGGAATGTTAAGCCTCTTCAGCAGCGACAGCTTTTGAATGGAATAAAAATATATTTAATTTTTTTTAATTTAAAAATTTTTAAATAAATGTTGTTTAATTCATTGAATTTTAGACGAGAACTGCCTTGCGCTATTATTCTTCAAATAAAACATTTTATTGAAAACAACAGCCACATTTGACAAGAGGACTTTCAACTAATAAGTGAATAGTGGCTGCAGGTGATTGCGGACGACCAGGCGAGTTTGGATGATGATGATAAACTAATATAATGTAATTATTGAAGCAAACCCAGCCAAAACTACTCGAATAGTTGCTGAAGGACTCAAAGTTAACCCAACAACAGTAGATCGTCAGTAAAAACGAATCGGTAAAGTCAAATAAAATGATAAACAGATGCTGTACAACTAGATAAACATTTTTTTTGAGTTGATCCGCAATTAAAGTAAGAATCTCCACGACAACAGACGACGTTCGTCTCAGTGGTCGGACCAAGATGACAGCGCAAAACACTTTCCAAACGCAAAATTGTGCAAGAGGAATCTATAAGGGGTAGTTTGCAACCAAATTTATTCTCCAAAGTTTTTAAAATCCGGTCAAGCAATTAATGAAAATTTGATGAAATGCCTCAAGTCAAGTGTAGCGGGCATTCAACGGAAGAGTCCTGCCCCTCTCCGGGCTAGCACCAAGCTGCACGTCACGCAGCAGACGTTAGGAAAACCTGAACACGCTAGGCTGCAAGATTTTGTTTCACTTGTTCTAAAAACTAGTCTTCCTTCTCACAAACTACTTACTATTTGTTCAAACACCTCAACACAAAAAACGCCATCTTACAGTTGGTCGTTTCCAGAACCGTTAATTGTTAAGCTACTGCTATCAAGGAACTTATTTCTTGTTAGCAGATGAACGTAGATTGGAATATATTTTTTATTTTTATTGTATATATATGATAGAAGATAGATTGTATATTAAGATACCTATGATAGAATTCAAAATTATCGCGTTTTAAAGCGGATGGTACGACATTGTTTTTGTCACTAACGTATAACTAGAATTCAGAACATGTTTATATTAGAACTCCATATTGTAAATTTTATCTAGAAGCGTAATAAGAATCAAATATGCAATATTTTTTCATATAATAAATATAAAAAAATTATTGAAGAAACAGCATTTTTATCATGGAAACGGCAACCTTGTCTCTACTAGATTGAGGCTGCTGTGGCTGTTGCTGCTGCTGCGTTAGCGACTGCTGCTGCTGTTGATGACGTTGATGTTTATTGAATGTCATCCTCATCATCGTCATCGTCCTCTTCTCCATGTTTGTCCTTTCTCTTTTGAGCTTTGCCAACATTTTGGCATGCTTCTCTTCAATTGACTCATATCTGACATAAAATTTGTAATGGCTATGAATCCTGATAATGAAGCGTTTGTTACGATATGAAATAAATATATGATAAATTACTATCAATTCTAATTTTCTCATAATTCTCACAGGTATCCACTATCCACACACACATACACACACACCCACACACACCACACACACACACACACACACACGCACACACACACACGTGTGTGTGATAGACGTCGATCTCATAATACTATAAGCTGCAACACCATGTACATTGTATAGCACATTTTCAAATGTACTACTTTATGCATCATTTTTTAATTTACTAATGTTTGTATATAGTTGTCGCAACTTTTATTAAAAATTAGCAAATGATTAATGCTAAATTATAAACGGTTGAAATTTTCAGTTATCATCAAATCAAATAAATACTTTTGTTGGTTTTTATGAAGAAGCCGAAGTTAAAAATAATTATGAAAAGATTAATTAGAAATAAATAAAAATTTTGATTAAGAATGAAATCTTTAAGAATAACATAAAAACAAAACGTAGAAAGTAAATTATGATGTACAATACAAATACAAGTAAAGTAGAATATCCGAATATACAACTACCCGACTACAGACTTGTTCTTCTGTTGCTGTGTTACATAGGAATTGCTCATGATGCGAAATATTTGAGAAGAAATATGATAAAATTAAATTTAAATAAAAAAATTGAATCAGAAAATATAATTCAGCTAAATATTATTTATAAAACATTTCATAATTACGACTTATATCAAATAAGACACACATAAAAAGATTTAATTTAATAAATTTTGGACAAGCATTTTAAAAGTTTTGTAATCGCTTGATTGGTATCTATAGAAACCAGTATCAATGCTGAAGCGCTGTCTTTACTTTAGTTTTATTACGTGTGTGTGTGGTGTGTGTGTGTGGTGTGTGTGTGTGGTGTGTGTGTGGTGTGTGTGTGTATGTGTGACATTTTAGTTTTCTGCTGCTTTTCAATGGTTTTGATCTTAATTATTTGGAAGAAATTCTTCTTGTTCAGAATGAAACTCTTCAGAAGAATGGAACAGCATTTAATTACTGACGATTTTAAGTCAATTTTATTTAAATTACAGACAGGTGTTGAGATCCGCTCTGAACTTAACAAGTGATGGAGATGTAGTCAGAGAAGGAGGTCGAGACTTCCAGAAAAAAGGGCTAAAAAAAGCATACGCAGATTCATCATAAAAGTGTTAACACGGGGCGTTTAGCTTCAATTAATATATCTGATAAGCTTATTCTTCTTAGATGTTCCTTGTATGAAGCATTTGCTTAAAATTAGAAAAAAGTGTTTCCTCTGTTCAAAACATCTCACTCTTTGAGGAAAGATTTTTTAATAAATACACCCGGAATTTGTAATTTACAACCATTTGATTCAAAGATCATTGCAGACTTTGGCCTTTAAAACATCACTTTTTATAATAAAAAACTTCTTATGTCTAGCGATTAATAAACTTGTCGATTCATAAAATACTCAACAACAAAAATGGTCTGCAACATTTAACTACGTAGTATGCATAAGTGATGTATGAAATATGCATCACAAAAGAGTTGGCATCTAAAATAATGGCACTCCTCCAACAGCCTAATCCCCCCAAACTTCATCCCTACCAATCCCTGCAAAAAAAATCAATCATTCAGGTTGAGTTATGATCATGATGATGATGATCATCATCATCCTCATCATCATCACCATCACCAGCATCGTCATCAGCATCGTCATCGTCGCGGTCACCATCGTTATTTTCATCGTTACCGTAACAATCATCACGACAGTCCTGTCCCGTCCCAGTTGAATACTAACAGCACCAGATGAACAAGGAGAGGAGAAGGAAGCCGAGGATTGAGAAGACGATCGTCAGTATGATCCACGTCTGCAGCGGCTCCGTCGCCTGTTTTTCTTCGCGTGTATTTATTTTAAATGTGTATGTTTGTATGCGTTCGTTTTCCGCTTGTACGTTTGTATTGTATTGTATGCTCGGTAGTTTGTTGGCATGTGTATTAAATTCGTGTAGTGTGCACTGTATGTATGCGTGTGGGCTTGCGTGTGCGCCTTCATTCACATATTTATGATTACATCTCTTTATATTGTTATGATATAACCGCGAGAATGAAAGAATTGCGCCATTTTATTCATCATTTAATCATTGTTATCTTTGTAATTTTTGGGCTGTAAACCATACAGTGTAAAGAAATATTACATCTATGGTTGCAAAATCGGACAATAAATATGCCCTCCAAGTCGAGGTTCAGCAGGCAGTAGAGAAGATTACAAGCGAAGTGAAGGTGAAGTCGTGAATGTGATTCATGTAGTTATTTGGATTTTGTTTCTGTCACTGTTGGTATTCAAATAAACGTTCAACTTAGTTTGCGTTTGAAGCAGTTGTGTTCATCTATCAGAAATCTTGAACCTACGGATAAAGGAACTCTTGACTATCGTTAGAAGCTACGACACTGGGGTTGGAAATATAGAAATTATCGGTGCTGGTAGTTAGGAGGTCAAGGATTTAAAACAATGTCTTATATCTTGTACGAGTATATCTAACATAATCCTTCACTCATTCGTTCATTTCTTCATTCTAGTGTCTGTTTATTCAATCAATCTACCAATCAGTCAATTAACCAATCAACCAACCAACCAATTAACCAACTAATCAATCAAACAATAAGTCAGTCAATCAATCAATTAACCAAACAATCAATAAACCAAACAATAAATTAATCAACCAGCCAACCAATCAACAAATCAACCAAACAATCAATTAATCAACCAAATGAACCAGCCAATCAATTATTCAATTGATTAATTGATTGGTTATAATCAAATAATCAATCAATCAACCAACCAAACAATCAATCAACCAACCAAACAATCAAACAAACCAGCATATGATGCGTCCTTAAAAATTTCCGTGTAAATATCACAGCCCTTGCAGTCCATGGCTTTGTTCTTCTTGATGAAGTTGAAGAGGCAGCCGACCACAATTTCGGCATCGTTGAGATCGGCGGTCTGCACGATGAACGATGCGTGAGCGACCATCTGCGTTTCAAATGAGGTGACGTCATAACTTTGTTGTTTTGTTTTTGTTGTTGTTTTTGTTATTGTTGTTTTAGTGATGGCGGTAACAAATTTTGAAATTAACGTGCATGAAATTATTTATTTCATTGACGTCAATTATAAACAGAAAATAAAGTTTCAAGTTCTAATTTGCGTTCTAACACGATCACAACTGCCTTACTCCTAGTTCCACCCACTCCCACCCACACCATCTCCCCCTCCTGGCCTGCAAGTTCATTTGTGATGTGGAAATATTTACCTTTATATAATTTTTCAAATAGCAAAGAATGAATGAAAAGAAAAAAATTCATAAAACCGAAAATCAATGAATGAATAAATGAATGAATGAATGAACGAACGAACATCGGTGAGCGTCAGTGGAATGGGGACGACAGTATTGAGTTCCTCCTTGCCGAACCTCATGTAGTAGGCATACACGGTAATCCGCTCTACGAAGCCCCTCTCCATGTTGATTGTCTCGTGCAGTTTCCAGGCGTTCGGGTACATGGACATGGAGCAGGTGAGGGAGATGTTGGTCGTGATACTGTTGCAGAGACACTGAGACTTCTCTACTTCTATCCTCAGGTTGGATTCTGTCAAATTTGAGACGTTGATGTTGCTGAGGGTGAAGAAAATGAAGAACTCCGTTCATGTTGAACGTTGAACGTGTGCCTATGTGACTTGCCTTACACTCCTAAATGTCATTCTCAAATTTTTCTATTTATCTATTTTTCTATTCATCTATTTATTATTTATGATATGGACAAAAACGAAACTTAAAACGATAAAGTAAACAAATGTATGGAGAGAGAAGAAGAAGGAGTAACGAAAGAATGGTCATACTCAACGACAAAATGTACGTCATGTTCCTGTAGGGGCACGTGACACAGTCGACCACCTGCGAGCCACTATCTGCCCAGTGTAGTCTGATGGAGCCGCGGGTTGGTTGCGGGCTGAGGTCCACGAACGCCCCACTGTAGCACGCTGGCTCTGTGTGCTCCCCTCTTACATGTATCAACACCAATTTGTCTACAACTTCTTCTGGAGCTGTTTTTAAATGTGCATGTGTGTGTATATCTGTGTGTGTGTGCATATGTCCATAAGTTTGCATGGTTAATAAATGATGTATAAACTATAAACTGTATGAAAATTTATTAAAATATAAATATTTTTTCCGTAGGCATTGGTCAATGTGTGATGAACGTATGCACGTTTGTGTCTGTGTCTGTACGTATGTTTGTGCCTGTGTCTGCACCTATGTTTGTGTCTGTGTATGTACGTACGTTTGTGTCTGTGATATTCCAGCTAATTAACAGCGTTGAAATAAAAAATAATCAACATTTAAGTTTAAAATCTTAAAAAAATTAAATTTGCATTTAGACGAGCAAGCGAAGAAGAAACTTCGGAGCAGCGTCCTTCCGGCTGGCATCTTTCTAAAATTATTTTTCGTCCAAATTAGGCTGTTATATGGGAATGAGAATAAAAATGCATGACTTCAAAAAAAATAACAGTCGTCAACAGTTTTTATGAGCTGAAAGCCTCCCCCCTACCCCTCTTGTTTAGAGCAGGGCATCGAACCGGAACTGGACCGGAACCGAAAACCGTTAAAAATCGAAATTTTGCTCGGAACAAAAACCGTAACCGAAATATTGTTTGCTAGTTTAACCGAAACCGAAGACCGTAACGAAATAAATAACGGTTAGATGCTAAAAATTTAAAAGAAAATATTTTGTCAAATTCAGTAAAAAAATATTTAGATAATACATCGTTCTTAAATTTTATATTAATTTTTATTATCTTTGAAAAATTTTTATCTTTCTTTTCGTTTGTTTTTCCGATTGAGTTCGCGATCATTTGAGTAAGAATTGCTACGTGAAGAGAAATCCAATATAATCGGAGAAATTAGAGAGCAAGTTCGACCATCTTCAAAATTTTGGAGTGCCAGATCTGGAAAGATCTGTTTCTGGATTAAAATTTATCCTCAGAGACTGCAGAAGTGGTTTAAATGAAAACAATTTAGAAGATATGTAAATATTATTAATTGGAAGAAATTTTATTTATATGAGTGATTTTAAAATATCTTTGCAATGATTGTTTTAACTTTATGAAAAAAAAATTAAGAAACGTTTCCTTTTACACTGACAACATTAAAAAAATCTTTTTATTTTGTTACTGATATCTTATTATTCACAAGGTGTAAAATTTAATTCAAATTGGTGGTAGTGGTGGTAGTGGGATGTCCGTTACATGCGTTCAAGGAACTATGCTTGAAAAAAATTAAGTCTCCGGAGCGAAACCGAAAACCAAAAAAAAACCGATATTATTTCAGGAACAAAAAGCGGAACCGAACCGAAATTCGTTTTGCCGATTGATCCAAAACCGTAAACCGAAACGAAAAAAATTACGGTTTGGTGCTCTGGTTCAGAGACTCTAGCTAGGCCTAGGCTACTTTTGAATAATTCTTTAAAGTAAAATTTTCGGCTCGTTCACAATCATTAATTAAATATATTTTATGATATAATGATATGACGTTGATGTGATCATATAAATATGTTTTACAATGTAATGATGTGACGGTTGATGTGCTGTTGATTTGATGTCGGTGCCACTTACGATTACATTTAGCTGGTAAGGCATCGGCGACATCTAGCAGAAGAGACAACAACAATAAGTGTTGTGTGGAAGTTACAATTACAACACGGCCAACAAGCAACGCCATTACTTTCAACAAATTTTTGTAATTATTATTATTGTTATTATTATATTTTATTACTACTACTGCTGCTGCTGCCACTACTGATGCTGCTACTGCTGCTGCCGCTTTTATTATTATTATTATTATTGTTGTTGTTGTTGTTATTATTATTCTTGTTATTATTATTAATATTATATTATATTGTTTATATTATTATTGCCTCATTATTATTTAAATTGTTAGTTTAATAATATGTATAAATAATAACGATAATAATAATGCTATTTATAGATATATAGAATTTAATATAATTTAGGTTTAAAAAGTAGCATGTATCTAACGTATCTAATTCTATTTAATTATATGTATCTTATGTATCTACTAATTCTAATCTATTATAGATGATTATTTTTAAACATTATATTTGGTATTATATCCCAATACGTTTATTTATTATTTATTTATTTAATAATTAAAAATTTAATTTGATGAATCGTCACCATGAAATATTATTTCAAATATGTTTTTATAATGAGAATACTACGCGGATCGCCTAGAAGTTAATAATATAAACAAACAACCAACCACGAAATTTAAAATTTTCACAATTAAACAACATAACTTAAAAAAAGATACACACTATCATGATATATACGTGATACATGATATGCACATGATACTTACATTCGTTGACAGGGAATTAAATATGGACAAGCCACATTTACACTTCCTTCACTCCGTAAATTTGGTTTGAGGGAAAGTCCCTATGTTGGCTGGCTCAGTAGTAATTTTTTGATGATTTTTCGCTAGACGTTTTTGTCGCATGAGTAAAATTGAATTTTTTAAATTTGTCAATTTGCAAATGAAAAATCGAAAAAAGGTTTCATATATTTCGAGAAGTGGTTTTTTTTAATTTTTCATGGAATAATTTTGCCCAAATTATTTTACCCCTTCAAATCATTTGGCCCGTCTCTCAAATATTTAAAACTTCACTGAAAATATACACAAAACTGACAATACAACACGGAAATGTTCGATTCCTTCATTACATTCATCCATTCAAAGACCTGAGTTATTGAATCAAGCAGGCAATGATATTATTAATTCTAAACCTATGACGCCAATGTTTTAAAATTGAAAACAAACCACACGAAACAAAAACAAACAATCCTACACATGCAAGTTAACATCAAACAACCAACCAACTTCGCAAATTAACATTAAAGATGAATAATGCTCATTTGACATTTGTATCTGATGGTTCATCTTCTATATTTATATAAATATCATAAATCGATGCTAATATTAAGTAATAAAAGCCAGTAAAACATTGTAGATAATAAGCGATGTATATAAACAAAATATACTGTATATAAAATGTCAGACAAATGATACGATTTATAAAATTTTGTAAGCAAATGAAGGTAGCGGGTTTTTTCTTCAGAATTGGTTGGGTCGATGTTGATGAAAATCGTTATTAATTTCCCAAAAAACTTCTTGTAAATGCAAATTAAAATTGGAACATTGAAAAAAAATTTTTAAAGAGTTTGTTAAATAAATTTGGAGATAAAATTTAAAGGGAAAAATATCAACTCCATTACATGATTGGTGGTGAGGTTTGTGTAGCGCCTCCAATCAACCAATCAAAAGATTTTAAAAGATCGCAAACAACTAGTCAACAAATCAACTAAACAATCAACCAGCAGGTAGATCAATCAACCAACCAATTACTCGACCAACCAACCACCAATCAAGAAAGTTGAAATTTGTAAAAGAATGATAGTAATTAGTTAGATACAATTGTCATAGTGGTCAGCAAGCAATAGTTGTCAGATCTCGCAGCACTAACATGGCGTGGGTTATTTAAAATTTTTATTCTCAGCAGACTGCACTATGCATATGCACGTATCCCATCAGTGAGCTGGTGTAACGGTTAAGATGCCAAGCTCTGCTGTTGCAATGACTAGATTCGAACGCAAACAGATGCCTCCAGCAGGTCCTTCATAGGCGTAGAAAATAATTAAACGGATTATAAAACATTCTGTTTGTAGAATTAATTTAGTTTAAATTAAATATTAATTAGACAAACAACTTTATTTCAATTTTTGTTGCACTAACAATGCTACTATTATAATCAGAATGCCGGGCAAAAGCGTACCATCGCCCACCAACAAAAAAGGTCAACAAGGTTAGTTGTTGATTAAAACACACACACACACACACACACAGACAAACACACACACACATTTGCATATATACGCACCAAACACATGCAAACACACATACACACACACACAAACAAACCAACAAACAATTCTAAATACATCTAATATACAAACTTTATACGTTAATGTCAAACACTTTTAATAGTAAAAAAGAAATTTGTTTGTAAATATTGTAAATATTCCTTAATTTATTTATCTACGCATATAGCGCAATGATATTTGAACCGATATTTTGATTTTTGTATATGTGTGTGGTAATATAATAAAATGAATCAAGTATAATATATTGCACTGTCATTATCTTTACCACCATCGTTGTCATCATCTTTACCATCGTCACCTTCATCTTTGTCGTCATCTTTTCCATCGTCAACCATCATAACCCCCCATCGCCATGGCCACCATGATTAGGAGCCATGTTGAATGGCATGTACCAGCTGTGGAAGACACAGGATCTTTGTGACGTCATCATTGTCGCCAAAGATGGTAAAGAAGCGAACGATTACACTTTAAATACTTTTCCATTAATCTAAACATAGATGAACGTACACACATCTTCAAAAATAAGCAAACCAAATAAACAAACAAACATTACTTATAATGGACAAACATTACCGATAATAAACAAGCATGCATGCATGCATTCAGTTGAGAAACATAAATAAATAACACATACAATCGCGCATAAACCACTCCTACACATTGTCTCACGTCTTAAACCAAACAAACAGATAGACACACACGAACACACATACACACCCGCACACAAGTACACAGACACGCACACCAACACGCAGGTGTAACAAAATGTCACAAGGTGGCACTGGCGGCACACAGCACCCTACTTGCCAGGATGATATCCGAGTACGCCCCCGACGATGTCGTCAGGATCAGACTGCCAGATTATTGGTTAAGTGGTGACGTTGGTGATGACGTCAATAGTCAAGCTGACGTTGAAGATGGTGCTGGTCACGTGACCTTACTTTTGACTATGACGTTCATCATAACGTTGTGACTATGATGTTGATTACAATGTTGATCATGATGTTGAGGATGGGGTTGAGGATGACGTCAATGTTGTCGTTGGCAATGACGTTTTTGAATTGTGAAAAAGTATAAATTACGCTCATACTAGCAATGACGGTGATATCTTATGATGACATTAAAGAAAGAAATTACATTGAATGATGAGGTTAACTTTGTACACTCCACAAAACGCAAACATGCAGTTTAGATGCCATCCACACGGTTCTGCGCTTCGTCTACACAGCCAACGGTAAATTGAACTCAGACAACATCAGCCAAGTCATCAGTCTCTTGGTCAAGTTGGGCCTCAACAACCTTAAAGACATTTGCAAGAGTTACTTGGTAGATTGCTGTAACATCGAAAATGCCGTCTTTCACTATTCCATAGCTCTGAACAACAAAATGTTTGAAGTCGCTCAGATCCTATTCAACATCATAGCTGATAATTTTTTAGCTGTATCCAACACTACACAGTTCTTGTACCTGAGTTGCGAAAGGTTGTTGCCATTCATCAAGTGCACGCATTTGAATGTTAAAACTGAGATGGATGTTTTCATGGCCGTTGTCAATTGGATAAATTTTGATCAGGCGAACAGGCTTTCAAGTGCAAAAAAACTCATGGCAGACGTTCATTTTGAGGTCTGGTTATTCGTATTTGTGAATTTAAAATTAATTATTTCAAATATATATAACATATAATTTGTATATAACACGCATATTCCCATTTCTAAATTGAAATCAATTTGAAAGTACTTTGCGTTACGCATAATTACGAACAATTACATATTAAGAAAGTAATTCATTTTTGGAAAACTAAATGAAATTTTGGCGTAAGCATTATAAATGGTTGGCGCGTAATACGCAAAAATTTACGATTTTCAAAAATTGTATTTTGTTATTCATTTCCAAAAATTAGTCCTGTCAATGTTATTTGGCCAATTGCACTGAATAAGTTTTGAGCTATAGAGTCTAAATTTTAAATGATGTTTTTAATAATTATCGTAGGACATACATGCCGATGAATTACTGATGGAAACAGAGAGGTCAAGATGGCTGCTGTCAGAATCCAGTCCTGTTCGAAACATCATTTTTGACGTCATAAGAAATCATTGTATCCAGTCTAGAAATAATTGCTGCATCCATCCCTGTCCAGCGAGTGGAACAATTTGGAACGCTTCTGATGGTGTGTCTATGGATCACAATTTCTGCTCTGATTTTCCACAATGTGTTTCACCATGTTTCGATTGTTCAGTTTATCAACGAGGCGGTGCCTACCGGAGAACATGTCCTGATCTTTGTAGAGTATTTTCTGAAAGTAAAATGTGCTCTAGAATGAGCGATCACCTGCCAATTAATTACAATGATCGTTCCGATATTTCTATATTAAATTGTTCCCCTTCCTTTAAAAAGGATCCAACTTTACCTTGCGGTCCAAAGTCATTTCTTAATAAGCAATATGACCAATTTAAAGAAATTAACGGCAAACATAGAAAGAAAAAATCTCGTACTAATAAAATTAAAAATGTATCTTCGTTATCTGGATCTGATTATTATCGTCACAAAACTCGACTAAGAAAAAAACACAGGTTAAAAAAAAGAAAACGTCATTTCCCAAGCTCCAGCTCCGTACAAAGTTCTTATCAAGGTAGTAAAACTAGCACCACTCCTTCTTCCCCTTCCATGTCTTCAGAATCTGTAGTCCATAAAAAAACATTAAAAATTCCAAGTAGAACAGGGCGCAAAGGAAGAAAATCCTCAACAACATCTAAAAAAAGTCGAAGACACTCTAAACTTCACAAAAAAAAATCTCGTCATCGTCCTCACCATCATTCGCAATCCACTACAAGCAGCAGAAGTAACTGGAGTCGTTTGAGTAATAGAAGTAGGAAAAGCGCTCGTGCTTCCGGTTCTAAACATCGTCCTCACAAAAGTAAAAAATCTGGTAGTAAACGCAGTCTTACATCAAAACGAAAAATAAAATCTCAGAAAAGTTTAAAAGTTCCTAGTCATCACAGATCGACCAAAAAATTTAGATCATTTCACAGGCACCATAATAAACTATATGATGGACCCAAACATGGAGATCATCTCCATACCCAATCTTCCGAAAAAAGTCTAAGGTCAAGTTACGTTGGTCGCAAAACTTCGAGCCGATCAGATAGTTTCTCGTCTGTGCCTTCAATATCACCACCAAAACCACCAACAAATAAAAAATCATCTCGTCAACATCATCACCACAAAAGTCATCAGCTTCACAATCACCATTCTCGCAATCGACACAGCTTTTCCGGAAGCCATTCGTCTCGATCAACGAGATCCCGAAAATCTTCGACGCATTCAAAAAAATCTGACAAATCTGATACTAAACAAACACATAAAAAAATTCCATCAAGAAGGGCCTCATCTGGAAAAGTGGATTACAGAAGCAATCAGAAACATTTAGGAGATTTGTTACATAGATCGAAACATTCAGGACATTCGGGATCAATCAAAAATACAAAATCGAGGCGTATAGAAAGAAGCGCATCGAGTCAGTCTCGTCAATCTTCAAAACGCCATAACTCACCTACAAAAAACATATCGAAAAATGCCAACATAACATCTTTCAAAAAGTGTTATTTGAATTCTGACAACAACAAAAAATCTGATCTCAAAGTTGTTAGATACAGCTCACGTTTTTCGCATACTTCTAAATCCAGCCACAACAATTTTCAAAAAAAGAATTATGACCGATGCATGTTCAACGCCAGTGTTAATAGTAATAGACTTCGCGATGTCATTCAACGTCCTAAGCCCAATAAAAACACATCAAGTGACATAAGCAGTAATTGTGGTGGCGTTTCACCAAAATTTTTAATGGATCCTGGACCAAAGTCAGCAAAACAGCAACAACAAAAACTGGAGCTATCTAAAGTCGTTGATACGCGTATTAGCTCATCGCTTTCCATAATCTATCCATTTGAAGGTCGAGAAATTGTTGACGATGTTGATAAAATATATTTCAGCAACAGTGCAACAAATCAACTGATTGATTCAAATAGCGAATTTGTGATAAGCAAAAGACAAAGCAATATTTCAAATGACAACGCTATGTACAACATGAAAGCCCAAGATGCCCCTTATCTTTTTATGATAGGCGGTTTAGATTTACAAAACGGTAGCCGTGACATTCCTGGCAAAGCGGTGATGGCAATAAGTTTAAACCCGCAAAAAAAGGGCTCATGGTTGCAAGTAACGTTACAGTTAGAACAGTGTCTCCACCACCACCAGTCTGCCATAGTTCAAGGTAAGTTGTATTTAATTGGTGGTGCTATTTTTAATCCAGAAAAACCAGAAAAACTAGGAACAGCAACGGATGGCGTTACAATCTTTAGTTTTAAAACTGGTGAATGGCGATTAGGACAATCAATGCAGTTTCCAAGAGCCTATTTTGGCATGACTCGATGGCGTGATAAATTAATTGTGACTTGTGGAGAAGATGATCGAGGTGTTGAGACTGAACAGATAGACATTTACGACACACCTAACGACTGCTGGAGACTTCTTACTCACCATCCTGGAGGACCCAGATTAGGAGTGGCAGTAGCCGTATTGGGCAACAAACTCTTTGCTCTAGGGGGCTATTCTAAAAAAAAGAAACGCCGAGGAGAATTATTAAACGACTTTTACTGTTACGATATACTTATGGATCAATGGACAGCGCTTGAATCGTTCAACAGACCAATCAGTCAAGCTTCATTAGAAGTCGTGAATAATTCCAGACTAATTCTTATGGGTGGAAGAACACTAACGAAAGGTCAAAAAATAATCAGTAGTGATGGCATTTATATTTATGTAGAAAATCAAAATTTCTGGAAAGAAGTAGGAAAGATGACAATAGGACGACATGACATGGCAAGTACAGTCTTCAAGATAGATCGTAATAAAACTTATATCTATTTAGTAGGAGGAATGACAAATCCAAGTCCATCGTCTGTCAAAAAAGTTGAATGCGTTTCATTTGACGAGGAATCAGAAAGAGCGATAGTTATTGTTGCGAACAGTACCCCGTTTCCTGTCACTGGGACTTCGTGTTGTATTGTGAAATAAAGTTTTCTTTAAATAAATACAAATTTTTAAAATCAAAACTTTGAAGTATATTTTTTTATTATAAATTTATTGTTATTAGAGTAAAAAAATATCGAAAAATGTTCATAAACGACAAAAATTAAATCAAATGTTTTTCATCATAAAAAGACGTGCTTCAATTAAAATGACATTCGGCTTTCCTTGATATGTTTGACAATATGGCGGCACTATGTTGGTGCTAAAATTTATTTTAAATGTTTACTATTTGATTACGAAAATAATTTTTTTTATTTTGAGCGTTTTTTATATTTGAAAAACATTTTGAAATAAAGTTATTTTATCGATTGTCTGTTTCATTAATTTTTGTGTAGCGATGAAGAATCGCCTGGTTTTTATTACTCTTGGCACCTAATTTTTTCCCCCCAACAAATAAAAAATAAAAGAAATTGTACAGTACAGCGTACAGTGCACGACGAGTACGCACGAATACACTGGTAGAAAGCGTTAGTTCGTTCTCTCAAGCATCAAGATAAAAAAGTGATTCAAAAATTTCAATTCAAATATCACCATCTAAACTTAAAATTAAATACTTCAATCAATAGTAGTTAGTGACAGTGCAATGGATACACGTATGTGTGCATTTTGTGGTCGAGGAGAAAAAAGCTTGATGGGACAAGGAGAATTAGTGAGATTTGAACCAACTCCCGGTTTCAATCCGTTTAAAAAATCACTGAACAGATCAGTTTCAAAAAATTCAGATGATGGAAACTGTAAAAAAACTATCCAGCCATCAGCTGCCACTTGCAGGCGTTCGAGATCGGTTGGAAAGGGGTCAGATTGTCTATTGAATTTTGCATAATTTGTGACAAAATAGTAAATAAAATAGATATTTCAATATAATTTTGTTTACAAACTTTACATAAGTATAAAAAGTTTATTTTAACCAAAATGTGTTAATATTAAAAATATAATAAATATTAAAAAAATATTAAAAGCTTTAATATTTTACTTTCATTAACTGAAATTTCTAATATAAAAATTCAGAAAAGATCCAACTCGTAGTTCCTCACAAATGTCAACTGACTCAGAGGATGTCGGTGAGTTGAGTCGCAACCAATCACAGTCAAGTCTAGATGTAGATGGGCAGTCCCAACTGCAAGATGAATTGTTTTTAATTGGATTTCAGGATGATGTTGATGTTACTGGTCTATTTGAGAAAACAGGTGGTTTAGCAGTTTACATGATGAGTGATAGTTTGAGTGTTAGATATATATTAGGAATATATAATAAGTTATGTGATTGTAATGTGGCATTGAAACACGGGAGTTTCTATTTTGATTTATTTGTTGTTGCATGTATGAAGTTAACTTTGTTTGTATCATGAAACCACTTGAAAATGCATGAATAAAATCATTACACACATCTTTAAAATTTTGTATGGAGGTGATTATTACTTTCTTGATAAATTTTCAATGATGGATCTGGGAATGAATTATTACTAGCAGCATTTTGTAAATAATAAGAAAAAATAAACTGAAAGAGTTGTACTTTAAAAGAATTCAGTCATTGCATTCATTCAGCTAAATGGCAGCCTTACATTTTTTTCATTTCACATCGAATCTAATGCATTTATTAAAAATTTTAATTTAGGAATTTAATTATAGTTGATTAATTGAAGAATGTCTCTTAAATTTTTTTTCTAAGAAATTTTTTATCTATGGATTAACTGAAAAAAATCGTTAGTTTTTAAACATCTTTAGGAATGAGTATTGTTGTTTTTGTCAAGCATCAGTGATTGGTTAATTATGTTTTGAATATGACAGTGTTAATTATTTGTACATTTTAATTTGCCTCAGATGATACAATAGTTAAATTATGGAGGGTCTATATTGTGTTATGTTGATATCATTGAATTGTTTATAAATTATAATATTATAATTATAATAATATAAAAATGTGTTTTTTACTCATTAGTTAGTCAAAAATTCAAAAATTTAAAAAAAAATGAAAGTATGAAAATGCACTATTTCACTCAGACATATTTTAGTTTAAACAAGTTTTAACACTTTCCCATTGCAAAATTCAATTCAATTTTCGTTTGCCTACAATTGTTTGAAAAAACTTGTTACCTATATTTGTTATAATAATAAATTATGACGAGTGATTAAATTCATAATTAATTATTAAATATATAAAATGAAATGTCGCAGGTCATGTCATGGCCCACCAGAGTTGTGCCCTCTGGTCGGCGGGTGTCGTTGCGAAAGATGACGGCAATCACTTGAATGTGGATGTCGCTGTCTTCAATGGACTTATGCAGGTTATTTTTTTATCTCTTACAATTATTTATTTATTTAATTATTATTATTATGATTGTGATTATTGTTATTATTATTTTCTTATCTTTACTGCAATTATTAATTTATTAAGTAAATTATTTTTTTTGATAAATATGTTTTTTTTCTCTCTAATTTGAGCTCTCTGTGTATAACGCAATAATCCTTTAAAATGTTTTACCTTTTTTTTTGGTTTGATTTAACATTGGTTTATAAGTAATATTAACTGAATTGGTTTTTACTGAATTCATCCCATAAAAAATTTTACTGTCCCAGTTTAATTTACTATTGGCTTAATTTTTTAACCAAGGAGTTTTAAGGTAAATATTTTAGTGAAATATTTATGTTTTAAGTAAAATTTTAAATGGAAAATGTACCAAGTTTTATTTTTGTGACGAATATTTATTTTTTTCTATTCAATTCACAGTAAATGACTAACTTACATAATATATGAAAATTTGTATTTTTAATTATAAAAAAACAATTGTGCACATATTTCAATAAGATCATTAATGTTCATTTGCCTTGTCCATACAGAAATGTGCTTACTGCAACAAATATGGTGCTACAATCGTCTGTCTGTCGACCAACTGCCTCCACAAGTACCACTACCCTTGTGCCTCTGGTGGTGGATGTTTCCAGAACATCAAGAACATGTCACTATTGTGCCCTGATCATTGTAAACAGGCCGTAAAATTAGGTTCATTGTTGTTGTTGCTGCCATTGTTGTAGTTGTGGAAGTAGTTGTTGTCATGTATTGTTGTTAATTATTTGTTTGCTAACACCATCAGCTAATCAAGAAGCGTGCTGTGTTGTTTGTGATGTCATGGGCAGCATGAGTGACCAGCTCTTTTGTACCAGCTGTGGTCAACATTACCATGGCAACTGTCTTGACCCCACCGTGGAGGTCAGCCCCGTTGTGAGGGCTGGCTGGCAGTGTCCGGAATGCAAGATTTGTCAGACTTGTAGGTTAGTTAGGCCCCTAGTTTGTGAATTTTTATGTTTTGATGCCAGTTCATCTTTGCATCATATCCTACTGTCACTCAAATATTCAACACACCATTCAAGACTGTTCAAGAAAGTGGAAAATAACAGCAAACACGTCATCCATCCTCTACTACACACCAATCAAAACTACTACACACAACCTTTGTCAATGCAAGCATCAAGTCACCACTCAATCAATATATCAGGATAAGATCTTCATCACAAGACACCTTAAACATATTAGCACTCAATAAAACTTTTCATTAACTCTGTTTCTTTTTTTCATTGGTCACTTGCTTACTAAGTCATTAACCAGTCTATTAATTAATTATTTTATTTATTTGTCTCTCTAAACCATTACTTTATTTTATTTTCCATACTTTACATGCTTAAACAATTTTTCTCTGTTATTTATTTTTTGTTATCATTTTATACTATTGCCTTGCATGTTGTAACAGTTTCTGCCTCTGTTAGGTTCTGATCTTTTAAAGAATAATAAAAAAAATTTATTATTGCTTCTTTCAATGCTGTTATCATATGGTATCAGATGATGGTGATGATTTATGCAAGTGTCATTATTATTCATTATCAGTAATAATATCAAACATTTTGGAAACAAACAAACAAACACACGTATGCACATGCACTGTTCGAAAACACGCACACAGACACACACTCAACTATTCTATCTTCCACCTTGTTTCCAGACAACCGGGAGATGATAACAAGATGCTGGTTTGTGACAGGTGTGATAAGGGCTACCATACATTCTGTCTGAAGCCTGCAATGTCTACCATACCCAAAAACGGATGGAAATGCAAAGTTGGCATTACTGACGTGTACATGCACGCCTGTATATGTTTGTGTGTACATGCACGCCTGTATATGTTTGAGCATACATGCATGCTTGTATATTATGTCTGTTCTCTTATTGTTTATATTGCTTCTGTATATGTGGGGTACTAGTTTGTGTATTATCTTTGTTTTTTCTTGTTTTTTGTTTTTGTTCGTATGGGAATATAAACGTTTGTCTAGATAGAATATGGGTGCATTGTTTTTATTAATTGATTAATTAAATTAATTAATTAATAATTTAAAAATATTGCTTGTATAAACGAATGAATGAATGAACGAGTGAATGAATGAAACAGAATTGCAGAATGTGTGGAGATTGTGGATCAAGAACTCCAGGAAATGGACCAAGTTCAAGATGGCATCTCAACTACTCTGTGTGCGACAGTTGCTACCAACAACGCAACAAAGGTTTGTCAGTGGTCAATCAGTGTTTACTGTTGTCGTTGTTGTTGTTTTTGTTGTGAGTCAACATTTTTTGAATAGATATCAATAAATTTTTTTTTTTTGTTTTAATTGTTGTTATTTTGATTTATGTTGCTGTTGTTTCAATGTTTCCCTTGCTCCGGCAACTCTCCTTGTTATTTGGTATATTTGTTGTTGTGATGACAGAACTTTACCCTCTGATGATGCGTTGAATTAGCACTGGGATGTAGTTTAGGAGTCAGTTACTGACTAGCTCTCAATAACTTAAGAGTCATGGTTTGGCTGGAACTATTTAAATTCATTCTCGTTTTGTTGAGATTCTATCATGTCAGAGTCTGCATCTGCCAGCAATGTTGTTAATTTTTTGTTTGCTATATGTGAGTGTATGAACATGTGGTTTTATTGTTTTGCATTGAGAGTTTATAATGGAAAATCACGATATTATTCGATGTTGATGTTGAGAATTTATACTGATGGATCATATGTATGAATATGTTTACTTAATGAATAGGCTTATGCTGTCCCATTTGTGGTAAGGCCTACAGGCATTTTGCAGCTCAGAACAAAATGCTGCTCTGCTTATCGTGTAAAAGGTTGGTTGTTGGTTGGCTGATTGATTCGTTCGTTGATTGGTTGGTTGATTGGTTTATTGGATGGTTGGTTGTTCAATGATTATCTATCTAATTGAATACTTTGTTTAATTTGTTTTTTGAATGTTCGTCTGATTGGTTGAAAAGGTTGAAGGTTAATTAATTTGCCAATCAATCAATTATTCAATTAATCGTTCAATCAATCATTTAATCAATCAATCAATCAATCATCCACTTCAACGCTTTGTTTTTATGACATGCCTGAGTTATTTCAATTTGATTATGCTACAATTTATGCAGAAAAATGTTCATTATATCCTTATTTTATATCTACATTTTACTCTTAACTTATTTCTAACTTGTTGAAGCTCAAGCCTAACTCACTCCTACCTATACACAGACATATACACAGTGAATGTGCTGAAGGTTACGAAAGCGGTGATAAGAAGCTTTCCTCTTCATTGTCTTCATCGTCATCTCTGGTCGCCACCACCAACAACAATGCAGATGATTACATTTGCCTAAATTGTAGGGATAGAGATGATTGTAACATGGTAAGTCCTCCGTCATGCTATCATCTATCTATCATGTATCATGTATGGTATCATGTATCTATCATGTTTCATGTATCATCATATACCATCAAGTAGTCTGCTGGTGGTGGGCTGTCCTTCATGGATATGGAGGGAATGATAATAAATGAATAATTATAAATATATAAATAAATAATATAGTATTTTCATCCATGGTTGGATGATTTTTGAATGAATGAATGATTGGTAAATGAATAAAGAATGAGTGATGGAACGTATGAGGTACTCTGGGGATTAGAACGCTAGGGAGGGGAATGAAAGATTGAATAAATGAACTACTAAATGGATGGATTAATTTTTTTTCTCTATAAAATACTCAAGTAAATAAATGATTTAAAATAAATTATATTAGGAAATGTACACATAATCTTAATAATGAAATATTTTGCTCTATGAATATTTAATTCCCAGCAATGCGACACCACAAGTAGTGGGAATGGAAATGGAAACAGTGTTAACGTTGTTGGTGCCGGTAGTGGTGTCGCTTCTTCTTCTACTGCTGCTGCTGCTGCCTCTACTGCTGCTGTCACTGATGATACTTCAAAACCGAAAGATATTGAAAACTTTGGAATTTTCAAAGTTCTGAAGGGTTAGGGATCGTTTAGTTTGACAGTTTAGTCTATTTCTGGAAGCACTATGCTGTCAATGTTTCTATCTTTAATGCTATAATAATATTAATTGATGATAAAAGCCTAGTTACGAAATTCAAGATGATAGCTGTGCTTACTGGAAACGTTTTTTTTTTATATGGAATAGCAATTTTTAACAAATTGTTCAATCTTATTTGCTTGTTTTCAGATGCCGGTAACAAAAAAGATGATGCATCTGAGGATAAGGGCTCAGCTTCTCAAACTCATCAATCAATCAGTGCAGGCCTGGGTGGAGTTAACTCAAGAGATTCATCCAATCAAATTAATCCTGAATTATCTGTTTCTAGTTCTGATATTGACTTAAAAGCTCTGGAAAAAGTTAGGAAACGTTGATAAAGATGATGAGAATGATGATGATGATGAGGATGATGATTATGACATTATTAATAATAATAGATACTATTATCTTATTTTTTTATGTGAGAGTCTACCACTAACTCTAATATTGCACGTTGATGCACCTGATAAACAGAATGAGAACAGTTTGGATGACTTCCTGGACAACAACTCATCCGGCATGAGACCAAAGGCATCAACAAGCAGCAGTAGCAACAACAACAGCAATCTGGCTGGTGCCGACACCAACGCTTTGTACTCTGGTAAGGGTGGCAAACAGGGGTCATTCAGAGGTCAGCAGGATGGAAAGAAGATAGGAGGGAGAAACAAAGTAAGTTGATGTTGTTTTGATGATGTTGTTGTTTTTGATGTTGTTGTTGTTTGATGTTGTTTATATTGTACTGTTGTTTTGTTGTTTTTCAGTGTTGTTAAATGTTTATAATGTTGATTTTTGATGATAACGATCAAATTTTAGTTTTCGTGTTTCCAAAAATTTAATAAATCATTTAGTTAAACAGTAGCGGTGATTGTATGTCTCGTTAAGATTCAAATAATTTTACTTGACCACATTATTACCAATGAGAAAGATAAAACTACAAAAACAATAATAATGGATTGTTGAAGGGTCGATCCGTGGGAGCAGGGAAGAAGAAGCGTCCCATGCAATCCTCCGGCACGATGCAGCAGTCCTCGGCGGCAACATCGTCATCATCAGCTCAACAGTGCACCGCATCTGCCACTAACAGCGTACCATCTGATCGAAAGAGAGGACCTAAGCCTAAACTAAAACCCATTGGCTCAAACAGTCAGGTTAGAAAAGAGAAGGCTAGATGTTTATAAATAATGGCAATGACAAAGTAAAGAAATGATTTCAGAATTAATCTAAAAGATTTAAATTTAATTTGATGAAAGTTTAAATGTGTCACGTGCATGCACATTGCCAGGCTTCAAAGGATGAACAGAGCAGCAAAGATGAAGAGCACGCATCAACACTGGTCATTGTCTCCTTCAAGGACCAGTTCACACTTAGACAAGACATGTGCCTTAGTTGTGGCAGCTTTGGATTGGGAGATGAGGGGCGTTTGATCGCCTGTGTTCAGTGTGGACAGTGCTACCACCCATATTGTGTTGGCATAAAGGTTTGTTCTGTGTGTGCTTGTGTGTGTGTGTGTATGTGGTGTGTAATTTAAATGGATGTGTTGGTTGGCGCAAGTAGAGATGAGAAAAGAAGATATTATTGTGTAAAAGAACTTTACAGGTGAATAGAAAATTATTGCGCATGGATTGTATTAGATCAACTTTTTCCTTTCATATTGTCATTACAAATTTGTTTTTACGTAATTATTTGCTCAGTTATCTCATTTGGGCTTTCACCATCTTCGTCTTCGTTCTAGGTGTCTCCATCTATGCTGGAAAAGGGATGGAGATGTCTTGACTGCACAGTCTGTGAGGGGTGTGGCAAGCCCCACGATGAAAGTAGATTGATCCTCTGTGATGAATGTGACATCAGCTACCACATCTACTGTCTGGACCCCCCACTGCAGGAAGTACCTCAGGTAGATTAGCTGCATGCACGCTGGTAACTTGTTCTCAATGAATTAGGACCAATGATTGAATATGATAACTAATGACTATACAAGGGGCAATGATGATTAGTAACTTTGATGAAATTGTTAGTTTCAATCGTTTGTCTGTTTGGAAATTGTAACTACCGAAAAAATAATGATGTAGTATATTATGATACAGATGATGAAAGTAATATTTTCGTGTATATGTATCATAATCACCAGGGCACCTGGAAATGCAAGTGGTGCATCATGTGTGTTGTATGTGGAAGCAACAATCCAGGTACAAATTGCACCTGGCTGGAAAACTTCTCTAAATGCGGCCCTTGCAGTAGTCTCGAGATATGTCCTGTTTGTTGCATGAAGTATGCTGATACAGATCTTGTACTTCAGTGTGCACACTGTGATAGGTAAGATTGTATGTTTGCGTATGTTTGCTGAACGTTTGTGCACTAATGTGTCTTTGTACAACTCTGCATACATCTCTGAAGACATTTCATTTAATTGAGAAACATGGGCTAAATTTGTGGCTTGCTAGATTTCTTGAATCATTAAATTGATGGATAAGGTGAATATCTATGCATGTGATGATGACAATCCAGGCAAATATTTTTCATTGTTCTTTCAGTGTTTTTAGTATTATCAAGTGTTTAAAAAACTTTTGACAATTTCTGAACCAGTCTAACGTTCCTTGGCTTTGAACAAAAATCTTTAAGTAAGCATGACAATTTTTCTCACTCTTTCTCCATTACTCTCCTTCCAAAATTTTCTTGTTTCTTTTAGAACTGCTTACCAGATTGATTTCCTAAATTTCAAAATATCATGTGCACATGCAAACTTCAACCTGCATTTTGAGATCTTGCAAAAACTTTTAGCAAAACCTCATCATATGTTTCCCGCTGTTTCTCGTTAGATTGCCTGCCTAATAAACAATTAATATTTACGCATTTACAAAGTAATAAATCTCGCACATGGGCAAGTTTGTTTTTACACGTTTATGATTGTGAGTTAATAACTTCTTGTATGATGTACATGCAAAAATACTTCCTAATTCTTGGTTTAACATTTCCGTGACTTTTTGTATACCAGGTGGCTCCATGGAATGTGTGATGGTGTTAAGAATGAGGATGACGCAGATCATGCCATCGAGGCTGTGTACCATTGTCCACTCTGCAGACCGGTCACTAATCATCATGGTCCAGGTGGGTTCGTCTGTCTGTCTGTTGGTTGGCTGGTTGGTTGATCAATTAATTATATGGTTATTATTTGATTGTTTGGCCAAAAAAGTTGATTGCTTGGTTGGCCAAAAGGTTGGTAGATCAAAGGTTGGGTCAAAGGTTGGTAGGTCAATGGTTGGTTGGTCAAAGGTTGGTAAGTAAAAGGTTGGTTGTTTGGTTGGCTAAAATGTTAGTTGTTTGGTTGGTCAGTCAAAGCAGCTCTTAATAATGACAGGGATTAGAATGGTGAAATAAACAGCTCACCACAATGTTTTATATAGATGGTAAAAATGTTAAAATCAGTTAAGTCGAATAGATAATTATTGATGGCGATTGTAATGGCTGCAGTTTTTATTTTCCTCTTCAGTACTCTGCCTTCCCATGCCTCTTGAGAAAGTGGACGTTCGATATTCACCTCCATGTATTGTGGCTCCCATCAAAGAACCAGGCCAGTTGTTTCAGTCCACTGTTGCTTCTATTGTGTTCATCACCAACGTACATCGACCTAACCGCCATCATCTTAATTTTTATTCCTCATTCAGAGTTATATTTATTGTTATAAAGAATAATAATTATAAATATTTTTGATGTAATTTTAAATTGTATTTAATCGAATCTTTCCAGACTTACCGAAATTACCGCCTAAAACATACTTTGTCGATGGCGTCTGCCTCTCGGAATCAGGTCTGTCATTCATTCGCAAGCAGTCCATGAGGTTGGGTGAGAAGAAGCGCAACCCGTCGAGGTGGAAAAGAACGCTGCCCACACATCCAGGTCTCCTCATGCACCTGGCCAGCATGTCGTCTGAGAGGATGGAGGAAGAGCCCGATGGAGGAGCAGATACTAAAGGTTGCCATTTTGTTTTCTTCACAATCAATCATTTCTACCTTCTTTTATTAATTTATTTCATTATTAGATTCTATTATTTTTCATCATCGGTGCAATCATTAACATCACCACCTCGTGATAAACTGACCCCATCACGTGATAGACTTGCACATGATGGACGAATGCAAGATGGATGGAAGCCAGGAGGAAGACCTGCTTTCACCCACTTACCCCGATCGGTTGGTCGAGGGTCAGGGTGCCATGCCGGCAGCGGGAGGCCTGCTCGAGGAGAAGAAGAAGAGGCCTCGCATGAGAATGGGCATGGGTAAGACGGATGGATGGATGAATGAATGAATGGATGGATGAATGGTTGGATGGATCATTGGATGAATGGTTGGATGGATTGATGGATTGATGGATGAATGATTGGATGAATAATTCACCAACTTACTGACTAGTTGATGACTAAATTAACTGACTGATGAATGGTAAAATTTGTGGATTTATGCCTGGTTTTATGTTATTTAAAATTGAGGAATTGTCTGATGGTTGGATGAACAGACGGAATATTTCGATGATTTGACAAATAAATGGATTAATTCATTAATTTTAGTTGAATGTTTTTGTACTGTGAGTTTTTTTAATATATCACCACAAATGGCATCATTTTATTTTATGCTTATTCAACGTTGAAAAGGTGTAGGAGGGTTCATACCTCGCTCACGAACAAGAGGTGGGGGTGTCAATAGGTCACGGTTGATGGGACTTTCCACCTTAGGGAAATCTACATCCATGTTCCCTGGACAGGACGGTTAGAAAGGGTTTTTTTTTGATTAGTTGGGTGGACAGTATTTTTACTGTTACAGTTATTTATTGGCAATGTTTTATTACAGTGGTACGGAAATTTATAATTATTGCTTGCTCAATATGAAATATGAATATATGCCATTAAAGTTTGTTTCTAACAATAGCATTCAGTCTTGTATTACTTTGTCTACATTAATGCTGAAGAATTTTGACCTGAAACTAATAAATGAAACGTAGATGTGGATGAAGCTGATGGGAAGAAATTGAAACAGAGGAGGCAGAGGAAGGTGGTGAAGAGGTCGTCACTTGAAGATGCTTATCCTGCTTACCTCCAGGTCTCCATCATCTTCTTCAACATTCTCATCTTCGACGTCATGATTTTTATCTTTTTGACCAATGCTATCTGGTTATAAAATGATCATAAAATAATCATTATTCTTCATCACAGCAGTTGCATATTAATTTTCAATATTGTTATAATCGTTTTCATCACCAACTTAACCGTTGTAATCTTCGTTGTTGCTAGGACGCCTTCTTTGGACGGGATCTACTCAACCAGTTCAAACCCAACATTCGACCAGAGAGCATCGACCTTACGAGTTTGGAGCCCCTCCCCATTCCTTCACACTCCGCCACTGAGGCAACGAAATCTCTGGTGGGCCAACAAATGGACCAATCATGGCAAAGCACATCTGGAACAGCTGATATGTTTGTCAGTCAGAAGCAACTATCAGCTGACCAATCGGGTGGCCACCAGCATCATCAACATCAGCAGCAACAACTGCAGCAGCAGCAAGCAAATTCAGCAGAAGGGGGTTCCATAAATTCGCTGGATGTTGATTCACTGGATAGGGATCAAGCCTTGGGTTAGTAGTGCGTTGACATTGGGAAGATTATCATATATTAATGGGAGGCTTGTTTGCCTTTTTCTGTGGATCACATCACAAAAACTTGACAGTGTCATAACGAGATAGTGACGATTAAATCATTTCTTAATGATCAATTTGTTGATTGCTGAAAAGAAAATGATTGAATGGTCAATTTTTATTTTCAGATTCCTTGGACCAGTTTCATGACATCTTGGATAAGTTTGCCAGCTCAACAGGTTACCCTAACTTACCATCTTTCATTATCAACATTTTAATAATGTTTAATTCTTTAATTTCCTTCTCATCATTTTTGTCTTTGTTATCGTTCTTATAGTTTAACATCAAATTCATTATTATTATTACTACAGCTGCTGCTGTTACTACTACTACTACTAATACTACTACTACTACTACTACTACTGCTACTACTACTACTACTATTGCTGCTACTACCATTACTACTCCTACTACTACTACTGCTAATAATAATAATACTAACAGAACATGATGTCTTAACGCAAATTGACAATGAAACATTGGAAGATATATTGAAGAATGGCCTTAATGACAATCAAACTGGTTCGTTTCATTTCTGACCGTCCAATTTTATTATCATTATTGCTATTATTATTTTATATTTATTATTATTATTGCATTGTTTTTTGCTTGTTTTAATTAAAATTTTAAAGGAGCTAAATTTTGCAAGTGTCAATAGCCAAGCAAATTTTCTCTATCCACACTTTTTTTTCAAATTCTGATAACAAATAACTTTCTAACAAGAAAACAAAGTATAAAAATTTTATGTTCTCAAGTAGTGAACCGTCAAGTGAGTCCTGCTGACTTTAGTACGCCCGCTTGTAGCCATTTTCTGATATCTAGTTTCCCTACAAAGGAGTGCCGGTATTGGTGTTTGAGAGTTGATAATGGATGGTAATAGTGATTTCTAAGAAGCTCCTGATAGTTAGATCGAAATTCGTGCACTCATCCTAATGTTATCAGGCCAATGTTTTTGATCAATGCGTGAACAAAAGAAATAAAAATAAAAAATTATGTTTTTCACGTGATGGCAAAATTTATTTATTCACATGGAACCAAAAATAAAAATTTTATTCAATAAACCTCCTTGTAATTACGATAGAAATATAAAACCAGAGCACAGATGTTAACTACAAATGATGACAATGATCGATAATAATGATAATAGTAGTAATAATAATAATAAATAATTATTGTTTTCAGAGTCTGAAGATAATTTTGCCCTAGGGAGGTGTTCATCGTTCACCCCATCCAAAGGATCGAGCGCCAGTGTCTCTCCACTCAGCCCCTCCCTGGCAGAGGCCAATAGGTTTGCTGGTTGAGATTTAAATTTGGTTTGGCCATAGGCACTTAATGCTCGTTTGTTTGCCTTTGATTATTCATTTCTCAGCTATTTATGACTGATTATTCAGTTGGTTAATTGATTAATTAATTAGTCGGTTAGTTAAATAAATAATTGATTAAATTGATCTGATCAACTGATTGATTGAATAATTGTTCGCTTGTTCATCTGATTGGTTGTTTAATTGATTGATCAGTTTATTGATTGACAATTTTTTTTGTGCCACTTCATTTCCACACTAGTTCTGTATACTCTGCAACTGGTGATGCATCTTCAATGTGGGCGCCCACGCCACAGATGAGATTGCAGCAGCAACAACAACAACAGCAGCAGCAGCAACAACATCAGCAACAACAAATGCACCATCAACAACAACAGCAACAACTTCCTCAACAGAATTTATCCTTTCAACATTTTCAGTATAGCCATCAGCAACAACAACAGCAACAACATCAACAACTGCCTAATCAAGGTCATATAAAAGTTACCTTCATATGCATTGTATTTTAATTAATTCAGTTGAAGTTATACACCAATTTGTTGAGTTATTTATTCATCATTTTTCAAAAATATACCTACCTATGAACAATGTTTTTAACACAGTAATACTTATTTTCAGGGTTCTATGCAAACAATCCACAAGTCTCTCACCTTCAGCCTTCTCTCTCTCAAATGGATGTCCCCGATGACGATGATGACTCAACGATGGAATCCTCATCGACATCGTCTGATAACTTAACGTGCAACCAGCGAAACATCAGGAAATGGAAGAAAGATGAGACCTTGGGAGAACAGGCCACAATTTCCCAGGTCCTCTATGCCAACATGTGTCATCCAGAGCTGAAGATGCAATATCCAGGTTGGTGGTTACTTTTCATGGTTCGTGTTCTTTTTTTTTTTCAAGATTTTTATAAATTTTTTTTAAAATTTGTTCTAGAATAACGGTGATGTCCTATTTAAATCACGTGTTGTATCATATGTTAATTTGTTACTTTGATATAAACTTGATAGATTGGAATGAAAGATCGAAACAGATTGCCAAGTTGTGGAGGAAAGTACTTCCTGATGAACGATCACCTTATCTGGTTAGTTGATCAGTCGGATGGCTTGATCAGTTGTTGAATGGATAGATGAATGGATGATTGTTTGGATGAATGGATGGACAAATAGTTGAATGGATGGATGGATGAATGGATAGATAGATTGGTGTATGATTTGTTGGATAATACAATTGGGATGACTTGATGTGGATGACAACGTGTAATGTGTCTCTATGGATAAATTCCATTTCGGCTCATTTCAATTTGTATTCCGAGTTATGCTATAAGTGAAGATTAATTGGAATGATTGAACGATTGTGACGTGATCAAAAAATGAATGATGATATGTAGGCAAAAGCTAGGGAGAACCGAGCAGCGAGCAGACTCTTGAACTCACAGAAGGTTGGTCACGTCGTTATTCATTTGATTGTTAATACAATTGGCAGTAGTTTATTAGTAGAGGATGGGTGCCAGTTGTATGAGGCACGATAGTGTTAATAAAAATCTATAAAGTTGATGTAATAAAAAACTATTATAATGATAACTTGATAAATATTTTGATGCAAAGGAGGGAAAGAAGATGAAACAAATGAAGCAGGAAGTGTTGAGTAGCAATGCGATGATGAACATGGGCATTCCAGGCAACATGCATCAGCAGCAGCAGCAACATCTTAACTTGCAGCAACAACATCTTAGTATGCAGCAACAACAATTCAACATGCAACAGCAACAACAAATTACTATTCAGCAGCAGCAACAACAACAACAGATTAACATGCAGCAACACCAGAAACATCAATTGAACAACACTAACATGCTCCCCCAACAGCAGCAGCAACAACACAATATGTTTGGTAAGCATCATTTATTACACATTTTTGACAATCACATTCAAGTTAACTAACAAGTGGTACATGTTTTTTAAAATTGGTTTTAAATTACGATACGGAGTTGTTAATTAATTAATTAATTAATCAATTAGCTAATCATTTAATTATTGTATTCGAAGGATCGACTCCGGATGTAAATGATCCATATGCTCGTCCGCCATGTACACCTCACCAGTCTCAGTCTCTCTCTGCGTGCGCTGATGGTTCAGTTGGTGGTATGGGGGCAGTTTTCAATGCACCTCCGGGTACCCCGAATGTCCCACAGACTCCACCGCCTCACCCACACACTTCATCAGCCTCGTCATCTAGTTCATTGTTCAAACAACCGCACCCTAAAACGATGATGATGCAAGGTCAGCACTTTGATTCTTTCACGGGCACCCGACCGTCATCACGTGATTATCATACTGGACAGCAGTCTTCGTCGCTCCATCATCAGAACAGTCCCGTCATCGATTCAAATTATCCTGGGGTGGTGGGAAGCAACGGAGGGAATGTTGCACAATCAACTGAAACATCTCCCCACCAATACGGCCGACACTCGTTTGCCTCACCTTCACTGTCCTCATCTGTCCCAACAATGGACAGAGCTGGATCAGTTGATCCTTTAAAGCAACAACAGCAACAACCATACCAATCTCCTGGCATGATCCAGGATTTTGGTTTTCCACCTGATCAAGGCTTAGGAAGCGTCGGTGCAGTTGGAGGAGGAGTTCATGGAGGTACGGTAGTACCTCCATCTCCACAACAGTCACCTAAACTAAGTGGCACTGGTATGAACAATAGTGGCACTGGCAGGATGGCTAATTTTCCCACTTCAGCATATCAAAGATCCGTTTCAGATCCGTATGGTGGAGCGCGATCAACTTTGGGCGGCAATGACCCTTATGCCCACCCACCTTCAACTCCCAGGCCTTCTGATTCCTTTTCTCAATCTACTTACCCCGGGAGATCGGTCGACCCATATTCACAGCCACCCGCAACACCACGAATGGACCAGTTTGGTCATCAACCAGCTATGAACGTACAAACACCTGCCGATGTTTATGGCTCAAGATCGAATATGGATGCATATGTGACTCAGTCACCTCACAGAGGGATGGTAGCCCCTGCAAGTGCTGCCCTGGACATGTACAATGCCCCCACTGACCCGTTCTTGCAGCAGCAGCAACAGCATCAACAGCAGCAGCAACAAGGTCTCAGACCTCCTGTAATGATGGATCCAGAATTCAATCAGCAGCATCAGGTAGGTAGAAAGGGGAGGTTCTATTTAATTTTTTATTCTTCATTTATTTAACTAGTGACATTTTAATTGTTCATTCGTATTAATAAAATCATTCTTTTTACTTATTTGCTTCTTGGTCAGGCCTTCAGTTGTGCAGGCCTTCCCATGTTATTAATAACGTTGAGATAGATCTAAGGTGATAGATTTGTATTTTATTTCAAGTTTATAATGTCAGCATTGTGTTCTTTAGAAGGAATGCAACGGCGATTCATTATTTATTATTATAATATTTATTAATTAACTATTTGCCAAATACGAACAGCAGTTAATGATGAGAGGAGGAGGAGAAATTGTGGGCCACCCCCATTTGAATTTGAACCAGGTGAGGATGATGCAGCAGCAGCAACAACAACAACAAATGAGGCATCTACAACAGCAGCAACAACATCAACAACAACAAAACATGTTTATGCAACAAGGTACTGGAAGATTTGTGTCAAATCCAGAGCAATTTTCCAATCAGCAACAACCTTTGAGACCTGACATGATGATTAGACAGCAGTTGCAACAACTACAACATTTGCAGCAACAGCAGCAACACAACCTCCCTCACAATTCAGCAGACGTGTCTAGTTATTTATCCTTGCAACACCAACAACAACAACCAAAAATGCCTGGGTTTGAACACCACATGCTTACAGCTCAACAACAGCAACAACTTTTGATGCAGCAGCAACAACAACAACACAACGCCTATCCATATTCAAGAGATGTGATGATGAGAGGAGACTTCCAGCAACAACATCATCAGCAGCAGCAGCAACAACAACAACAGAATCAATTTGAAGGACATGCTGACACTAACAGGTCACATATATATATTTAGTTTACAGCAACTTTTACATTATATTAATATTTAGATTATAACCAATTTGTTAATGGAATAATGGATTTATGGCTTTTTGAATATTTTATATAATGCATTATGTTTTTTTTTACGTACACAGATTTGCTTTGCCTCCCAGTGATGTTTATCAGCAACATCCACAGCAGCAACAACAACAGCAGCAACAACAACAGCAGCAACATCCGCAGCAACAACAACAACATTTATTGCAACAGGAACAAAAACAACAACAGCTACTTACAGAATCATCAAGATATCCTCCGATGAATGTTGCCAACAACAAACAACACCAATCGTCCTGTGATGCACAGTTAAATATACAACAACATCAGCAGCAACCACAGCAGCATCAGCTTCAACAACAGCAAGATCCAAGGTATTCCACGTTACCAAATGAGTCACAGCAACAAAACAAACAAGATGTCGGATCTGAAAGATATCTTTTGAAATCCTCTTCTATGGCTTCTTCAGATCTTCTTGCATCTACTAAGAACATTAACAGTGAAAATAATTCAAACAATAGCAATGTCCCATCTGTTGAAACAACATCAGTCACCCCTCAAGAAGTGCTTACTTTATTATATTATATTATGTTATATTATATTATATTATAATTAAATTGAAATTTTATTTCAATTCTGTTTTCTATATTATAGTGCTATAATTAGTTAATCCAACATTCTTTTATGGCTTATTATTGTCATTTTTTAGCAGCTAAACCATATTTAGAATTTTATGTTTATATAATACTACCATATTAGTGTATTCAGGAACATCACACCGGGGTATATGTTCATGACCATGTTTATAATTCATTGAAGGTTCTGACAAATGTTACTGCTGCAAGCTCAGTCAGTAATGTTACAACAGCAACGACTGCAACTAGCACTGCGACAATAGCCACCATAGTGACTTCACCTCAACAAACTCCAAGCTCAACAGCCCTATTCGATTTGAATTCAAATGCTGATAAGGTTTCAGCTAACGTGGGAAGCAACAACAGTTCCGATAACGTTGATAGCAAATCATCAAGTACAACTGCATCGACAACAATGTTAACTACAACGTCTTTTGCCCCTCTGACAACAAATGCACATCAGATGCCATTGTCTGGGTCGTCAACACCTTTGAGACACTGGCCTGAGGACATAAATAGCATCAACAACATCAACAACAGTAGTAACCTGACGAAGCAGCAGCAGCAGCAACAACCACAAATGTTGATGCAACAAACCTTCCTTGAACAACAAAAACAGTCAGCAGGTCCCAGAATGCAAAATGTTGGCAGGTTGCAGCAGTTGCAGCACTTGCAACAAGTTTTTCAACAGCAGCAGCAACCACAACAACAAGATCACACCCCAATGTCAACACCGTCATCAACACCATCATCAGCATCATCATCATCGTCAAGATGGGGAGTTGATCAACAGCTTTTACAACAACAACAGCAACAGCTCATGATGATGATGATGAGAAATCCACAGCTCAAACAGCAGCAACAACAAAATAGAATGTTGTCGCAACATGGCAATATTATTCAACAACAGCAGCAACAACAATTGCCTAGTGATGATGGCAATAACAATAATGATGTCCGACAGGCTTCTTTTCAACTGAAATCGCCTAGACA